CTTGTCACTGAAAAAAAAATAGTGATAAAAATGAGCAACGATAAAGAAAAGGGAAATCACGATCGTAGAAAGAGACTATGACCTGATATAACATTCATAATAGGAAAATAAAGAATTTGATTGATACAAATAGTGAAAATAATTGCCCTAAAGACAAAAGGTTTCGAACCCTGAGGTTAAAAAAAATGAAGGAGTGATTTTCGGCTGGTGCCTCACCATTATCTAAGGAATTTGTCAACCTTGGTCGGATGGCAGAGCATTGGTTTTTCTTCCTTAAGCCCCACAAATAAAAAACGTATTGCCGCCATTAACAGCTGTACATACCCTGCTCTCAGGAGTTGTTGTAGCAGAAACGATCTAACTACAGGTGTTGCATCAATGCCATGTTCCGGAAAAGGAGAAAAATCCTTAGTCTTTGAACTGGCTTCTATCACATAGCTCATGAACATTTTAAACAGTTCAGGATCCATAGCACCTTCATCGTCCTTTGTGCCAAAACAGAACAATGAGACAAGCTCCATGAAGAAGGAGTTGCACCGACGACGGAAATCGAAGTGTTCTCGAACAGCTTTCCTGTAAATATAATTGCACACCCAACTCGGTCAATGAATGGTTCTTAAAATAAGGGAATAACATTATGCGAAGCGGTTATATCTATCTCCAAAGACTTTTATGTCATTACTACAGTGTATAGCAAATGATGATAAGTTTACAAAGAGGAAAGCGCAACTTTTCGTTTGATTCTCCATTATCAATCTCATCCAAAACGCCTTGTGCGAGGAACTTAGACTTATGCTCAAGTTCAAAATTCTTTACGAAACTGAAAACACTTAATGTATTTTTCATTAGTTCATTTTTTCGTTGATTGATGGGGAACTTTTCAATTGAGTGTTGAAAGTACTATGGAATGGCCTGATTTCGCTTTACTGAGCTTTACAATGGATCTAGAAATTTGCCCCATTCTCCCAGTCAATCGGATGAAATGACGGATGGATCACGCCCTTGAACTGTAGGCGAAACAAATCTGCAGGCTAGCTGACTTGGGGGCGTATCGATCCGTAGGTAAGATGACTTGTGGGCAAAACTAACCTGTTATCGAGATGACTTCTAGCGCATCTGTGTTTTCTTCATTAATTCTTTAGAGCACTTGTTTTCCGATTGGCCGTTGTTTGATTGCTTTAGTTTTGGTTTTTAGAACAATTAAATTTAACGCGCTTTAAAACATAGGTAACCGTTATTTCCACACATAGTCCTATTATATAGGGCCTCTTGCACAAAATACAGGTATTTACGATGGCTCCCTGTGCGAGCTTGGGCTACCTGGGCTACAATAAATACATTATACCTTACAAGTTTGGTGGGTAAGATCTTAAAATCATCCGGTACGTCTCTCTTGCAGCACGGACATTTTCTCTCCCTTTCAATCCAGCTAGTGATGCAAGCAAGGCAAATTACGTGACCACAAGGCATTTTGACAGGATCCTTCTGAGCCAGACCATCCAGACACACAGGACAGGTGTTCACACCATAACTGTGGGACAGAAGAAATGCTGCTTAAGGGCTACAACGAAAACTATCTGTAAGTTTTAGACGCACGCACGGGAAGCACGATGAACATTGGAAGGAGAGGTTCACTCTCATCGAGGCGAATCGAGGGCAAGAAAATTATCAAAAAAGATTTCGAAAAACATCAGTAATACTAGCGCCTTTTTAAAAGCACAATGACAGAGGTCCAATTCATGACCAACTATCCTAACATTTTTACTGCCATCTCCTTACCTGGTATAACGTTTACTAACAGCTTCGCTGCAATCCACAAGAAACTTTTCAATAACTCGCATTGTTTGCGGCTTTGTAAAGTCTGTCTCATCACCCAACGCCTGTTAGAAAGATTGTTTTGGAAACAGAGGAAACAGAAAGTGAAATCTAAAGTCAAAGCACTAAGAACCACAACACACTCTTAAGCTATTCAAATACAAGCATAGATATTTCGACCCACCTTCCACAGTTTAAAAACATTCCTCACATCTGCTGGGTGGCATGCAACTGTGCCAGGGCAGGTATGTTCAATAAACAATCGCACAGCACTTACTCTCTGCCAAGTTGACCTGACACAGAAAGTTCACGAAAGAAAAAAAAAGTAGTGATATCAGATACAATAATATCCTTACCTATTAAGTTTAGGTTCAAGCTCTAAAAAGTAATCTTGACTGCGGTTATTATTTCTTTTGAATGTACTTCAGGTAAGAGGTTAAGAGCCAAAAGCAAAGCGAATTCCACCAAAAAAACTGAAATGTGATTAGTCGATCTAGAATTTTAAAAAGTGCAATACCTGCAATTAAGTAGAATGTGGTTTACTTTACGGCCATACTGTGAAAGATTACTGATCATGTTCTCAGCACTTGTTCTGATACTCAACACTCTGTTACACCACACTAAGCGAGTCTGTGGATCGTCAAACTCTTCAGCACCAGGTTCAAGTTTGGACAAGCAAATCTCTAGGGCGACGGCATCCAGGACCTTGAAGGTATTATTGCATCATATCAATCTTACTGCTACACTGTTTTTATTCATAATTCAAAAATATAAGTGCATGAAACGTCCTAAAGCGTAAAAGGCTAAAAATAAGAAGGTTAAATTTAATCTCATGAAATTTTCGATTGAAGGATTACTTTTCAAAACAAGCAATAAGCTTACCATCTCCGTTTCGCTTGGAGGAATAACTTCCCGAAGGCTGGTGACAATATCTGGTTGAGCCTGTACTAGTTGGCAGAAGTTCGTCAAACGTTTCTCGATGCGATCATAAGCCACGTGGATGAAAGAGATGGTGAGGGTGAATTCCTCATCCGAACATGTCTCATCATGCAACTTGCGAGCGGCTGTGACAATAGCTTGACTAATCAGCTGTTGAGTAACAAACAAGAATGAATATACTACCAGGCTTCTGAAAAAAATTAATACAAAATGAAAATTTTTTACATTCTTGGTAAGTTCCAAGGTGGCAATTTGCCGATGGCTCGAAAACATAAAATTCAAATTGCCACAGATTCAAGATAATATAGAAGCAGCTGGGTCGATAGTCTCAAGTTCACCCCAGGTTCTCGGTCCACATGTCATTCAGCTGGTAAATTTTATCACCATCTACAGAATAGCAGGTTAGCTTCGTCTCTGCTAATGTGTGACAAACGACAGATTATTTCCCAACATAAGTCAAACCAGGCGAGAAAGGCTATACGCTAGGTTCACATGTGCTTCACACTATGAGGTGAACAGAAAGGTGACGTGAAAAACTATATACAAATGGTCTAGGTAGAGGATCTTTCAGGCTGGTGGGTGAAACTGGTTTACATTCCTGTACGAATTTGCATTTCTTTTTCAACTAAAACAGCAGCCCCTTTCTGCCACTGATTCGATGCATGTCGTGCATAATTCATATGCGCTTGCTACGACAAAAGCGGATCTAGATTTCGTAGAAAAGACATAGGAGAATCCAATCACCATTCTTTATGATGTCCTACCTCTTCCTCTCCAGGAACTGTTGGTTTGTGGACCATGTGAACGAAGTCGTGAAGGTAGCGCATCACTGCGGCTTCCTCGTAGCCTTCATATTCAGTTTCTTCGAGCAGTCGTCCGATTTCCGAAGTAGTCACTAGGTCGCACAAACACCGCTGAACTGGGGTGTTTGTTCTCGCTTATAAAAGAATGAAACAGCAATGACTTAAAGAACCTTCCACTTTCGTTTATATGGCGAACGAAATATATTTATTTTTGACTTCGTCAAAAATTTTTTTTTTCAATGTTAGCTAAATCAAGACGCATACGCAATACTGTTTGGAAAAGAAATGAAAAGACTCGAGGAACTTATGCTATAAACTCAGTGAGTCCCACATGTGAAGTCCACCGAAATTAAAACTAAATAAACAATTAAAACTCGCCGGTTCTTTTTATCCGTGCGTGCAGATTTTGTTTTGAGTTCTGTACTAAACAATCCTTAAAGTTTAGCGTGTTATGAAAGTATAACGCACATTGTTGTGCTTTATCGTTGAAACTAGAATGAAACTACTTCATGGGTACGCTGAATATTTAAAAAAGTGTTTACCAGCAATACTACAGGCCTCTTTCCACATAGCATCAATTCTCTCTTTGATCAGCCATGAGAAAGGAAACTGCAGGTCAAAATTTTGTCTTTCACACGCAGAAGTCATTACTGACACGCGCTCCCTTATGATGCCACTCTCAAGGGACAGAAAGCTATCGTACTGAAGTTCAACTATATCTTGGCTTTGGAAAAGTGATATCCAAAGGCGTGACAACCAGGTACCTTCACCCGTCACAAGTTCCAAGTTAGAATCGCGGTCCACAAGGGCAATAACTTCAGAGAGAATTGGTATTACTGACGTATATACTTTCTGCCACAGTGCTTTTCTGAATGTTCCATTTTCTTGGATCCCGGTACCACTCAAAGCTTCTGAGCGTAACCAGTCAGTGGCTTTCAACCCAGCCCGTTCATCCTTTTCTTGAAGTAGTTTGTGGATTCGCCGAGACAAAACCGTAGCAAATGACAAATCTGGCAGAAAAAAGATAAACTCTGGTTAGATAACCTTTAAAAACAGGCGAAACCTTATAAAATTCGAGCATGTTTCATTTAAATGGCAAATAATCAATTCTCGCCTTATACCGTAAAAGTTGACCTAGTGCCCAGTCGGTCTTTTCCGAAGTTCACTTAAGCAGGGATCCTGCTTAAGTGAACTCCAAGGCTTGGAGCCTATCTATTGCTAGAAAATGGATTATCTGAAGCTAAACCGATCAGCCGCGTCATCTCAACTAAATGCTAGAAAAAATAATCTAGAAGTCCAGGCACGTTAAATCAAACATAATTTGAGAAAGAAAAGGAGGATCTTAAGCGTTCAGACAGATCGGAGACACTTATATGAAAAAAGTGCTGCTTACATTTAGGAACTTAGATAATGGAGGCGCCTATAACAATAACACGTTCGAGTTGGGACACTCGGCATATCGTTAAAGTAAAGAGCAAAGAGTCCTGTTATAATTACCAGTCCCACTAGATCTGCAGTCCGGAAGAAGACTTAACATCAGTTCAATCCGGCGTGTCGATCGTGACGGACGCCAGGACTCTTCGTCAAGTCTTGCAACGGCAGCTTGAATACAGCTTCTCACAAGACTGACAATATCTACTTTATCCAAAATGGCATCAGTCCCGGAAACATCATTCGACGCCTCCATGTCGATATCAGCCTCTGTTTCCTCTTCCTCTTCAACTTCCATATCATCAGCCCGTGTGATGGTCGGTGCTACGTCAAACAAGTTACTGATTGACCGGTCCACCATAAACTGGATGGCTGGTATTTGACCTGTCGGTGGGCGAAGTTCATCGATGTGGACAGATATCCAGCGTCCTCCTTGAAAACCAGCAAAAGTTGGACAACCTCCAACAAGACGAGGCAGTTGAATGATGAGAACAATATGCACGAATGACGAGGGAGCACACCCAACGCTTTCTAGAAAATCTTGCTCTGCTGTGGTTCTTTGTTCCACTAGCAAGTGACGAGCACAGGGGATCAGTTTGCTATTACGATCTCCAGCATCACACTGGACCATGAGCAATCCCTCTCTTCCACCAAGTTTCGCAAAAAAGTCCCTGTGAACACGAATTAGTATTCATGGAATTTACAAACGATATGAAAATTGTTTACTAAGTTTTACTACTTTTTACTACTTCATTACAGACAAGAAGTTTCATTAAATTATCTACATAAATAGTTATCAAACAAATACCTAGCATTTGATCTACCACTTACAAAACGTCCTCACCTTACAGATGAGCAGAACTGTTGCTCTGTGTGGAACTGCTGCAGACTTAGACATGAGACGTTTGACAATGGCAAAGAGGTAGCAGATGAAATATCTTTCAAATCATTCGACGACAGCAACCTAGCATGAGTCGTCACCTACAAATAGTTAGGAACATACGCATAAGTATAGCTTCCCTCAGAAGTAATAAGTATATGTCACCAGATTTGCAACTACATACTCTGAAAATATCCATGTACAAGTACAGATTTTCTCAGCAGATACACAAAGCAGGAACATAATACATAATAGCGGAGCTCGCAGAGCGTAGGCCCATAATTATGCAAAATAGTAGAAACCCATCAAGCCGAAAAAATTTGGATGTACGACCGTACGAATGTGCGACCGTACGACCGTACGACCGTACAACCATACAAGGTGCTACTTTTAATATGCGTGGTCGACTGTACCGCGGGCACGCCAACGCCACAGCTTTGTTCAGTAGTCCCAGTAGTCCACTGGGCTCCGAGTCGGACGACCCGGGTTCTAGTCCTGGCCGGGGCAAGGCGTTGTACCCTTGAGACGTGCGGGCAAAAAAATATGCGACCTCCGCTTTTAGGCTTGGCTAAATCTATATATTAACTTAATTAAGACGTAAAAGCTAATGTATGGAACTTCTGTAGTACTTAAGTAAATATGCCAAAGCACCCTCACCTGAATCAAAGTTCCCTCGGGCTGGCCCAATTTCGTTTCTTCTGTCGTTAACACATTTCGAAGGAAAGCTGTTAAACTTGAATGTTCCTGGCCTGTAAAGTAAATCTCCCATAGTTGGTCTGCCTGTGTAGCAAGCTTTGTATGAACCAACCTTGCCACAGCATCAGGTGTGGCGCACTGCAACAGCAATTCCTGGGATTCCTTCAGGACCTACAACGTCAAATGTAATGAAAAATTCAGGATTTAAATTAAAAGACCATTTGAAAGAGCAAAGATACCCTACAAAACGGAAATACACGTGCTTCTTACTTCAGCTCTTACAGGTAGGAACTGAAAAAGTGATGATAACGAAAGAGTATATTTATGCCTTTAGGATTACTTCAAGACATTACTAGCAATGTTGATAACTACATTCTAAATAACGTACCCTTTCCGAAAAATTCTTGTCGTTGAAACGACTGTACAGTTCATCCTCGTCTAAGTCACTGCATACTTGTAGCACTACTGATGCTGCAGTATCGTCGTGGTAACCGACAAATGCATCACCAGGTAAATATTTCCTTTATGGCATAAAGTAAAATTTTTTACATTCAGTGATCTAGGTAAACTCAAACAGCATGATAATAATGCGTTAACATGAGTTTTAGCCAAAAAAATTATTGAACTAAAAAAAATCCCCGTTCTGAATACAACAACAAACGCCCTAAAATACAATTTTAAAAGAGCGAAAAACCATCGTTGAAGCCCTCTGTGATGAAAACCTGAATCTAAATTTTTTCAAAATTTTACTGACCATTTTCCGTCACTATTTCTTATTCTTTACTAGAAATCGGTCGTTACCTGATCAGACAAGAGAAAGAAATAATGGGTCATACGGAATTCGTTTAAGGGTAAATGATGCCAACGCCTCTGGCGCACTAGCAATAGGACAGAGTGACCTAATCACGCATGAAAATTGTGCTGCCAAGCTTTCTGAAACGACATTACAATCTACTATGAAGTAAACATAATTCTATGAGAAATGAGAGTGTTCTAACTTAAATCCAACAAATGCTTAGAAATGAAAGAGTTGAAATTTTAGCTGTGGCCAGATTCAATACATACCTCATCTGTTGATGTCGCGGAATGTTGACGTGGGAAAATCCGTTGACCCAATCATTGAGTTGATCTACAACAACTTTTTGCGCAGGACTGAGACTGGCTGACGTCACAAGATAATGTTTCTCCAGGCGATTGATGAGGGGTATTGGAAACTTACTGTAAACGACGTCTTTTTCGGCAATCACAACGAGTCTGTCCATGAAGATTTATTGTATAAAAAATGTATTAAAATACACACAAACATACAGCTTCGTAGAGAGAACAAATGGGATTTACTTCCCAGACTTCTTCTTGGATGTATTGTAAAGAACCAGGAGAAAGTGCTCTAAAATGAATGCTTCAAAGAAGAGTACGATCAGTTTTGTTGCGTATTGAAGCAGGTCTTGCAGTTTACTATAGAAGGGATTCCGTCTGTATCCTAAGTGAAATACAAACCGCCGTTATACTTACCTGAAATCATTGTGTACACGGCACTTGACGCGGTGACTTCCTAGCCCAAGGTCAACAAATTTCTGATCTCCACAATACACATAGTACTGAGTGATAAGATTAGAAAACAGTAAGAAAAACATGCACTGCATGACAACGAGAGACAATGAATAACACCGATGCTCGAAGAACGAAAAAGAAGAGAGAAAATGGAACATTACGAAGCTACTGATGCGTGCATTTTCTGGTGAAAATAAAACGAAAGGGACAAACAGACCGAGAAAGAATTAATGATAACGAATGATCCATTTTGAAAAGATGTAAACCAGACAGGATTTCTCAGTGCTTGCTTCAGTTTAAAATGTACAATTCGTTACCAAGCTTTCTTTAACATCATTAGAATGTGCTGTACTTTGACGAGAAAAATTAATTGAAAGGAGATTTTTTTCTCCCATCCATACCTGATTCAAAGCATCGTAGAGACTCTCGTAGAGGCTCTCTAAATTCAGAAGGATTACAGTCCGTCCTGTCTCCATGCATACCTTAATTCGATTAATGTCTCGGCAAACCTGTAAATATGTGCAACAGAAAAGGGTCGCAAATTCAAACCACTACTCAATCGTCTATAATCCACAATTTATGCCCCAACAGAACAGCGTGTCCACTATGGTTTTAGTTGGACGGTCTAATCGACCAGTTTCTGTGTCAATTCAGCAGTTATACTATAAGGCTTTATGGGCCTTAGGTTTAATTGATCGTTGACTACTCGTACGAAACATAATGATATCAGTAACTCCAGTTGGTCCTATGACCAACGTTAAAACGATCAAAATGACTAACTTTGACGAATATTTTCGTTTTTATTCGTTGTTATCTAAACATACTTAATGGGACGAGTAGCTCCTCTTTCACTTTGATATTACAAGTTTGGTCAATTTGTTCAAGTTGCGATTCTAGCCATTATAGACGCCAAAGATTACAGCCGTATCCTCTGAAGATTATTTCAAAAGTTTCAAAGGAGCATCCTATTTACAAGTTGAAATCAACGCTTTGACTTGTCAACCATCAAGGTGAGTTCCCTAAATAATGTGGAATAACTGCAATTAGTTATGCCACCTTATTCAGAAGTCAAATTTAGTGTGAATTACATTATTTAATACGAGTGTTACAAAGTGTAAGTACCTGTGTGTACTCCTGATCTTTCGGAAAGCTGCTCCCAAAAATTACGACAGGTTCGTCACCAGGTCGAGTTTCATCACCGGTTCGAAGTAACTCTTTCAAAACAATCGGCAGAGCGGCATAATTCTCTGTCAATACCAGTAGGTATCGACTCTCTCTGTTTAAACCAAAAGAACCAAAAGAAAAACACCTTTTAACAAGAACTGCTCCACTTATTAGATTTTGAATTCTTAATGCATGGATCTGATTTCGCGTAAAAGATTATAAAGTGTTATCGTTTTATTTGACATGAACAAACCGCTAAAACTTTGTCTTGACAGTTTATCTAATGATAGATAGCAGAGCCGAGCAACTGAGCCCTGCGCAGTGATGAATTAGACGATATTGAACGTCTTCCTTACCCTTTCGTTTTCTTTTGATCTTTAAGGCTGGCCTTGATCAGATTCACAGCAGACAACGGATCTTCATTTTGCTCCATCTTCAAGAGACAAGAGCCGAGTAGATATGCATTGAAGTGAAAATGACAGTGACCTGCTTCAACGGTGATAACATCAATAGCTTGATTCGTTCAATGCACATGCGACAAATGCATTCGAGTTAATATCTTTGACCTCTTTTCTAACGATGACAATTTATTTTCATTCATTTCTTTTAAAAGTATTTTTAACAAATGTACAGATCATTAATATTACAAAAACAAAAGGTATGGGTAAACTAGAAATAAAAAAATACCGATAAAACACATACCATGCGGCTTCCACCGAAAGCGAATTGTTTGAAAATTTCCACAGGTTCAATCTCATCCAGTCCCCCAAAGTTTCTTCTTATGGCATGTTCTACCTCAGGCCAACGTGGCTCGCGACCTTGCTCCTCAGCAATTTTGTACACCATTTTCACAAGGCTTGGGGTAAAAAGAAAAATAATTCAAATCCGTTCACTGCCAAAATTTGATAGACGTCAGCTGCAACGGAATTTAATTTGGCTACGAGCCTAAAAGTTTGTATCACATTGAAAGGCGACGTAAGAAGAAGTTACACGCTAATTACTGCTAAGAAGTAGAGTTGAATCCCATCATCCTGATGATAAATCTAAGCTTCCAATAGTTCCTAAAAATATTTACCGACTGAGGGATCTTCCTTGCCAACTAATTTTATTACAAATGGAGAACTTGAAACCTGAAATATTCGTTAACATAGCAGCCAGATGGTGAACGAAAATATTTAAAAAATGCGTCAACTTAAACGATTAATACAAGACATAATTGCAGTACAAAAGCAAGGATTACAAAGTATGTCAAGGGTCTTATTGTGAACTAACCCATCTATTGTAAAGAAAAAGGGACAAAATAGGCTCGCATGTAAGACGCTACAGTTTTAGAGCCCGTATCTGGTCAGTTCTGCCCATAGAACTGCAACATTTCTACATGAAACCTCAGAGTGGCTAGTAATGACGTATGGTCAACCAAAGATGACTAGGGTTCAGCTACAACACATAAGCAGCTAATCAGTAATAATGAGAGAACTATCAGAATTAACATTTCAATCATAATGCTACCTGTAAAAATCCCGAAGGCCAAAAAATTCATCTTTTTTGGACTCCTGGAGGGTCTCAGACTCTCTTTGATTATCGTACAATTTTTTGTAACCGAGTGCCAGGGGATTCATTAGTGGTGCAACAAAGCTTTGTATGCGTTTATTGGTGGAACAAATGCCCCTACAGAGAAAGAAAATTTATGTTGTGAACGTTTCCTGCATGATAACAAGTTAAAAATCAGTATAAAATATTACATTCCCAAACCGTACTTTAAATTCCTGTTTACAAATTTCATCTGTCGCAAGTTTCTATTTCACTACTGAAAGTAGGAAAATAAGGATGCTGTCACGGTTTTAAGTCTGTAGATCGCAGGCTGTCATTATCAAAAATTAACCGTGGGAAAATCTTACATTGCACTTTCGACAAGTTCTTCAGAATCAGGCAGACCACGTGATAACATAATTCCACGGTTCATTTTGGCGGGGTCTAGAGCCCAGTTAGAGATCCCAATGAACGCCACTCTTTCTGGAAGTTGCTCTTCATTGGCAATGATGTCATCGGTTGAGTTCACCCCATCTTCAAGTAGCGGATGAAGAGTTTTCAGGGGCATCAAAGGTGAGTCTTCAGCAAGGCCAACCTCGTCCAAGACCACAACTGATACATACTTGTCTGGGTTGTTGGCTTTCTGTAAGTTACTGCAATTGCGAAAGGTTGCCATGATCCCTTCAGCAGTTGAGAGCGGACTGCACTGATAAGAAATCATCTGGACCTGGTCAAAAGTAGAATCAGTAAAGCCGTTCCATCAACTGAGGGGACTTAGTGAGTATACTAATTTCCCCTAATGATTATTGCTTCGAGACATTCTTTTTCAATTATAAATACACCCAGAGCATGCATCATTTTGTTTTAAAATGAGCTTTCAATTTCCTCCAGAACGCGCCATTGCATCATTTTTGAAAAGAGCAGCTTGTACATACATCAACTACCTACCTGCTTGAACGTCTTGAAGAGATCAGACCTTGAGGCATCTCCAAGCATGTTGTCAGTTACAACAGTCTTGGCAAGTGACTTGGAGCTACCCGGTTTACCGACGACAAACAGTGGAATCCTCAGCTCAATACATACCACCATCATGAACACATTTTCGCTCAATGCTGTATTGCGAGCAATGTTATCCCCAAGTTCCAGTTCATTCAACACTGCCTTCTGACAGCTGGGGAACGATAAAGCACGAAACAACTTCACAAGGTAAGTCCAATCATAAACAGAAATGAAAAAATGCTCACCCTATCTCGACCACAGGGTACACGATAGATGTTTGTTAATATTACCTTGTGATTTCCTTCAGAATACGTTCTTGTCCGCCGGGCAATTGACAGGGGTTTGCAAAGCTTTGAGCGACGGCTTGACGATATGGCTTTCTATCCTGAAGGCGTGCGTGATAACAAACCCCAAGGGAGAGCACAACTGCTCGAGTAACATCATCAAGGGGCTAATAAAACAGAAGAATAAGAGTGGAGTTATAATAGTTGCATCTCTTAGGTTATTGATTCATGGTCTTTCTGAAAGTCAGACCTATGTGTGCATGCTTGTTACAAAAATTCGCTTATTTCGATTTATAAAAAGTACATTTAGATGACCTTTCAACTAATTGTCAGGACAATGGTGTCATTCCATGAGTTAGACCTTGGTTGCTTAAGCTAAACCAAAGAAAAAATAGACCATCATTGCCCTTTACGAAGAAAAACCAGAAATTCACCATAAGCGAAAAGCCAGATTGAGGATGAGTAGTGCAATACAAACGAATAATCACATCAGTCTACAGTGTGAAGCGATCGCGAGAACAACATCAATGCTGCTCTTACATGATGCTGGAAAGTCATTAAAACTTCGTTACCTGATCCAATTCATCCTCGTCATACTCGACATCGCTGTCGTCATCGTCGTCATCACTGTCTTCATCGGTGTCATCATCCATTAATGGATTGAGAGCATTACGGTGATTGTAAAACCAAACCATCACATTCATTGCACGTTCAACATCGCGAAGACTCACAAAGCTGCACTCATCCTGTTCGGTTCGGTTCAGTGTAATTATTTGAGTAAAGTCAGAAAAGAGTTGCGTTACAATAGAATTCCTACATTTCCTATTTATCTACGATAAGTCTTCGAGCCACGCCAACAAATTTTTTTAGAAAGCTTGACCTACCGTTTGGTCCCTCATGTAGCGCTGAGAAGCAGTAAGTATGGTTGTCAAGGCTTTCACGAGCGAGGCATCTCCTGGAATTTTCTCTTCTTGCAAAACCTTGTTTGAAAAAAGGTAAATAATGTTTCCTAAATTGACAGGTCTCTAGGTGTCTCTTAAGTTTTACTCTTCTTCCAAATGAAATCAAGGTCTGGAATTTTGATCTTCCATCTTCTACAGATCGAACAACGAAAATAGACTCACAAATCTGGTGACGATTTGACGAATGTAAAGCTCCTCAATTTCAGGCTTAAGCTGACCAAAGTCCCATACCAACGGACGCATGCTTTCTGGTAGTGCATGCACTCTGTACACCAGATGCCGAAGAGGAATGTGACCTTTAAGATTAAAAAAAGAAAGATCTGTAGGGCGGAGTCTTTCTCGGAAAAAATGAGAAAGTTAGCATCAAAAAAAATTAAGTGCTACAGGCACATAACTTTAAGACACGGGAAGACTCAATTTAAATCGTTGGCGTTTATTTTATACAGTGCATAGACGCTAAAGGTCACAGCAGTAAGCCCCCGTGCGATGAGCCACTCCTGTCCCGAGGAAGCATCCGTGCCCAAAAATTCACTCTAAGTGAGCTGCATGTCGTTCTCTACATATGTTTATCACTAGTCAACAATGCTATAGATCAGATATTAATTCACAAAAATTTTATACCAAGGCGATCCTGTGTCTGTTGCGTGGTGACATGGTACCCCAGGCCAGCTGACTCCAACTTATGAATCATTTCATTTGTATGTCTAAGAAACAAAAGTAAAAGAGCTGTTTTGAAATGACACTTAAAGAAAAAAAAACCCTAATATATATATGTAATACTCGAAATTCGCCAAAGGTGTTCAACGTACTTTCTGTAAGGATTGCACGCTGCTATGAACTGTAATCTTTTAAGCCCTACTCCTATCTTTCTGCCATTGACTCGGCGATCGACCATAACCTCTTTGATCATTCCCAAAGCATCAGTTGTGTTAGCTTCGTCAAAGAATAACACCGTATCGATATTCAACGTTTCGTTCACAATAGCCATTGCCTCAGCCTCCTCCACTTTCTTCTCTATGTCTTTGTAGGTAGTACCTCCATGAACCTGTCATTTAGATTAGGTAGGTGTTAATGTTATGACGATCACCTGGAGAAATGTTCAAATAGCAGATGAGAAAATCTCCCTGTGTTACTGCGTAATCTGCGATCATTTCGCGTATTCTTTCACCATTTCATAAAAGTTAAAGCGGGAAAAAATGAGCTATTATCGTTATTACGTAATTTCAAGACAAATATTGGCTTACGAAAAAATAAAGGACTTGGGGAAAGTCAAGGTTTAGGACTGCATGAGATAAATCGTTGAGTGCACGAGCAAGTAACGCTGATTATGGCGGTAATCGGACAAAAAATTTTCAAATCATACTACTAGTTAGGAACTTGGTTACAATAGACTGCAAAAGTGTATTCAGAGATAGCCATAAAAATATCTAAAACAACAACCTGTTAAATTCTTACCTTCATTAGAAGCATGTTTTTAGGTCCACCAGGCCCAGACTGTAAGCCACACATGTATCGAATAAGGCATGTTTTACCACAGCCAGTCTCACCCATGATGACCACAGGGATGCCACACCTTGGATTTATTAATTTTAAGATTGAGAGAGCCATATTAGAAACCGAAAATTCGTCTTGTTTTTTATGTAAAATTCCACAATTTCCATCTGCTCAATTACCATTAATTGTCTAACAGTTTTTAAAGATATTCCAACGTACAGTTACTGGAAACTGCGTTCACTGTCATACCTAAAACGCATGTGAATAGCTAAGATTTTCTTCAAGTTGTCTGTGGTGAGCTCGTACGAGTCATCTGGATCACAAGGCCATTCGACACCCATTACTCCGCAAAGTTTTTCGATTTTCTGTCCCCTATAACGAGCAAAATAGCAAGAATATCTAAATAAAGCACCCAAGGACTCTTCATTGCAGGGAAAAACACAGGGAAAATCATTTATTATTTGTCCACTGGCTTAATCAAATAACTGTGATCAAAGCAAAGCTATCGAAACCCTACAAAATTTAAGGCCTAGGATATGCTACTGTCAAATACGCAAACGCTAGATCAGCTTCACACTTACTTGCTCCAAGATTCATAGTTAGTTTGCATGTCAACCCTTTGAACGTGAAGGCCGGTACGCAAGTGCCTGGACATCAAGTTTGGCTGAATGGTAACTTGACGGTACGGATCGATTAAGTTCCCATTTGGGTCAATGTGAAAGCCAACAAACGTCATTGTAATACGATCTTGGTTGAAGAATATGTAGGGATGCGAACTGCCAATAAAAAGGGAATGGATATTACCACTTAAAATCTATGACTGTTGCTTTCAGTGTACATTCGCAAGCCATTCCCTTGTTACCAAAAGCTGTTCCCTGAACAGTTTTCAAAAGCATGACAGTAATTCAATCGGTCCCACCTATACAAAACAGACACACACGTAAAGTATGCACTTTGAAATCAAACAATTTCTAGCATTTGCGCAGATCTTATGTATGTAGTCACTGTGCAGACGCAGTGTTACCCATACCTAGTCTCCCAGTGTCTCCTTAGACTAAACTGTGAGACTTCAACTGCTGCAGGTTCCATATCTTCAACAACAGTATCGTCATCAAGGCCTGGAGTTTGAGTGGTTTCTTCACATGTTTTCAGAGATGGTGTGGCAAAATCCTTTTAAGTAACACAAGAAGAATATTTTCAGCAGGTTCTTCTGCGAATTGATGCCATGATAAACTGGGCCTCTTTGAAATCGGTTTTAGGCATTTTCTTGATAAGGAAAAAGATGGCATGTCTCTGTCTTTCTGAATGACTGGCAGGCAAACAAATGCCTTGAAGAACGGATGAATGATACATGGATAACTTAAGAAACGCAAGATCACGAAGGGAAAAATAAGGATAGTTGTTAGTTCTTGAATGAATAGCAATCTAGACAGAGGGAAGACAAAATAGCGAGCGAGAAGAACAGGATGCAAAGATAGATGGACCAAAAAACTGTACATTGACCGTTTGATGGAATTACTTTTAAAAATTGTGTAACGCGTGTAATGAATATATATCTTACCCGTGACATTAAGATCATAAAACGAACCACAAAACTTCTAAAACCCTCAAGAGTGTCCCCCACCAATTCCATGTTGCAGAACGAACTTTCTTCGCAGGCTTGTAGTTGGGAGTCGAGAAAATTCACAAAGTGCCGTATCTCGGCCCATGAAGGGTTCTCGATACCACAATGTCTGTGATTGGATTTGATTGGAAAAAGCATGAGTATTTGAGTGTTTAACCACTGATAAATGAGCACATCATAATCTCACACCTGGAATGTTCCTAAAAATACACTGGAATGTTATACACTTACGTTACATATGAAGGAAAAAATTGACGATACAAAGCCTTACAACTTCGTCAGTAGAGAGTTAAAGGTTTTGTAAATGTAATATTTCCGCTTCGTAGATGAACGGCGGTAACGAAATCATATACAAATAAATCTTTCTCGCAAACTCAAAGGAAGTAGCAAGGTTAACTATTCTCTCTCAATGGTGTCATGTAAGTAACCATCAGTTAATTTCCTATGGTCCAAAACTTAACTTTGATTGATTTCATTGAGAAAGTACGACTAATTCAAACAGAAATTCAAAATTGCATCAATTATATGCAAAGTGTTGATTGAATTCAAGCGTTCATTTACATACTGCCTTAGCAACTTTTTTTGACCTCCGCTTACATGCACGTACATCAACACTCAAATGGCACAAAGACAGAACCTGACTGAAAGAACTAAGGTACAACACACAAGGACCCTCTATATATTTATCAGACGATTCTTCACCTGGTGAGTATATCAATACACTCTGTATGGTCACCCATAACTTGGCTGGGTACAAACCAAAAATGATCAAGAGTCTGGCCGCCCGCTTCATACAGCTTAAGGTACTGAAAGGCCCGCTGAACATAGGAGCTTTTGAATTCAGCGTTGTCAAACAAAGGGTTCAAACTGCTGTCAGCTACATAGGGTATGAAGAAGAAAAAAATTATTGTACTACCTTCTGTTCTCCAGTAGATCCGGCAGATGTGGGTCAAATACCTTGAAATATGTTAAAACACAACCGTACGGCATGTAAAATCAATTGAGCCCGACTCTTGACACAATAAAAATACCGTTTTTTTTTTTACCTGCTAGATTAGTTCTCAGCTGATGTAATGTTTGCATCGGTGTTCCACACTGGATCGTAGGAAGAAGCCTGTAAAAGGGCTCCGCCGTGTCTTTCTTGGAGAGCTGTTAAGAAAAAGAACAGCATTCAAACTTATCCTAGAGATCTTGTTTGAAGTATTGCATAGTGTCTCTTTTTGTTATCGTTCCACTGACCTTAGTAGACGTTTGTCGTCTCTCCACTGTTTCGCATACATTCAGAGATACGCCTGAAGTAATTTCAATGACATAAAGATCTGAGGATCGCCGCCTCCAGATCTGACCACTACTATTCTTCAAGGCACCAAGGATTAGGAGGTTGAAGAGAAGCGTGTCCAGACCACCTCTTACCTGTGGAAATATCGTCCATCATTAATAGTGTTAAGAGTAACGATAATATATCTAAAATCTTTCGACGAAAGGGAACCAAAATAGATTACCGAAGGATGTACATCAAAATGGAAAATCCGGGAAAGGGGCAAATCTGGAACAATAGTGTGAGGCAATAAAGACTCGACCACAACACGTTGGTGAACGATTGGTCCATAGATCGGTACACTGATGCAAAGTGGCACATCTGTACTCATGTCCTTTAGGTAATCCATTACTGCATCATTGTTTCGAAGTTCACTAAGGCGCTGACTGAGTCGACAGACTGCCAAACTTTTCCCAGATCCAGCTCTTTCAGATGAAATAACTCTAACAGCAAGTCTGTGAAGAGAAAACATATTTTGTCAGATGGCGGTAGAGTATTGGGTCCAATTCACTTTCACTAACATGTAGCATTACTACTCTACTCTACTTGGACGTGATTGCGTAGTTATCTCAGTGCAATGGATATGCATTCTTTGCCACTATCGAAACCACAAAAAATTTTCTTCCCTGAAAAGGTATTGATCACTCTGTCCCGGCCCAAATGTCTATTTGATTTGTAAACCTCAGCTTCATGTTCACGAACCACAATGCCGCACTAATTAGGATTTTCTATTTCTATTAACGTGATGTACAAAAAGGCTCTTACTCTTCTCTGTCCAATGCAGCTGCAGGAATCCAAGGCAAGACTTGATTTCTGAAAGTTGCCCGTTGTTGAGAGCGTGGCTTAAGCTGTAATTTCAGGTACTGCCTGATCTCTCTTGATGAGCAACAGTGAGGAATAGTTCCAAGCCTATACTGATCTAGAGCTGCAGCCATGTGAGCTCTGTTTTCATTTTCGGAGCTACAGATAACCATAAGAGACAGGCCTGAAAAAGAATTGACAATAAGTAATGCAGATGAGTGTTTAGAGTAAAAACAATTCAAGGGATACAATATCAAGACAGAAAAACAAATGATTAAATAGACAAAAGAGTACCACCCTGGGGATCTTCAAATTTTTACTCTGTGATGGAATCTACATTGGGATTTTAATCAATCTTCACTAAAAAACTTGAAGTTTAAAAGAAAAACGAGGGACTTCCATACACGTTTGGAAAGAGCAGCAACTTGTACAACATGGCTAAATCACAAGTGCTTTGTTTATTTACGTTGCTGAAGATGATATGTCATTCTGTGCTGGGAACTGATATATCTCATTTTAGAAAAAAAAACATTTGTGGCTCAGTTCAAAGTAAGAGACAAAATGATGGGCTATTGATTCGCTTGCAAAAAAATGACGCTTTTATATGGTGAGATCTTAAAAAGAATCTCTCACCTCAATGCGAAGCCACCAATAGGGCGTCAAATTATACTCAGGAAGGATACAATGCGTTTTGGGCACGATTTAGTGGTGAAAGAAGCACAACTAGACAGCAAACTGTACCTATTACCTTCATTTCGACTGTATTGAGGCTCATGCAATAGAACTTCTAGAACATCAGAAGCTTGTTGAGAAACACCGTAGTCAAGAAGGTCAACATTTACCAAACAAAACAACCTGCCATTGTGGTCTGCAAGGGATCTACGCCACAGTAGTTCAATCTAAAAGCAAAGGGAATTGTTGAAAGGCACATAGGGCTTAAGACAGTTACTTAATCAAACTTGACCTATGATTGGATGACCTGTAAACAGCAACATTCCATTACGTTTTACAGTTTCCATCATTCACAACCTCACCTTGCGTCATAATTTGCTTAACCTTGCTTTACCGCTAACACTGGTTCAGACTGCACTGCAACCTTATGATATTTCTGCAATATTTCAGCCGATAACCTACCTCTTCTGCAGTTGTATCGGAAGAGCAGATCAAAACTTCCTCTGTTGTTGGTAGAGACTGCGAACTGTCATGCATGTATAAAGACAGTAAAGTTCCCAAAACATCATCTTTGTGAGGATGAGGAAAAAGAAACATATAACTTTAAGGTCAATAACAGAACGACGAAATAGGAATCATTTCAGTTTAAAGAGATGACAAATGATTACAACATCAGTCAACATTGAACCGCAAAATAGCACGAAGTGACGATATATTACCAAAGAAATAATGAAGGAGAAGCTGACTTACAACTTAAAACAAAAACGAACAAAGTCCTCCTACCTTTTGGAACGACAACAAAATTTGGCTTTCCACGTTTTAGGTATCTTGGAATACACCTCCTTTCCCTTTTTGATCCTGCAATTAACGATGAAATTTAGATTTTTAAATAATAATAAGGATAATAAGGATAATTTGTGCAAATTAACATGTGGATATGATCAAATGCGCATTTCATTAATCCAAGGCCCATAAACGAAAATAGGTTATCAAATTAATGCCTTATAAAAGTTTGAAAAATTTTTCTTAAAGACAGTACGTTCAAAGTGGAAGCTTACTGTCGATTCTGTAAGCCTTGAAATTACGCCATAGGTGTAAAAAATCTGATCATTTCTAAAAGTTCATTTGTATAATGTTTTATCTGGTTTGTACCAATAGCAATTTTTTGTTTTCAATTTTTGGTGCACATTAATTGGTAAAAAGGACACTAGAGTAAGACTTAATATGCGCTTTGAAAACTTAGAAAAGCATTGACCTTGGGATGCTAGATGAAGCAAAAGCTTCCCCAATTCATCAAGACTCAAAAACGTTCCTCCTGCTGTTTGATCAAGAGTGTTACTAGCTTCCATGGGTTCTGAAAAATCTTCTGCTTCCGATGTCATTTCCTTTTCTTGTTGGCTACATGAAATAGAAATATCAGTTGTACATTACTGTGCACAAAACCAAGTATAATGCAATAGTTTAGGATCGTTAGTCACAAAAAATTATTAATGAAACTAAGAAGTAATACTTACTTCTTCTTACAAAGGAGCGGATATTCTAACTTTTTCCAAAATTATATCACAGAAACATGTTTAAGTCTAATCCTGATTAACCAATGATTTCTCTGAGGAATCTCTTGTTTGCTTCCAGCTACTATCAACTTAAACTCGAGTGGCCGTATTACATACAGCGCTAGATTCGCACAACTCAAGTCTCACCTTTCGAGCTCAGAGAATGTAGTGCTTTCTCTTTCTATAAGTCGCAAATAACTTGGATCACTCAAGGCCTCAGAGTACTTAGTCGCGATGAGATCTTTTTTTGCACCGTTTTTCACACACCAAACGATGAGATCTGCCTCACTGGCATCTTTGCATGAGACCATCGCGGCCAAGGCAACTTCTTCAGAATAACCAAGCGACTCTAGCTTAACCACAAGTGACTGGAACATTTCTTGGTTTGAAGAAAGAACTGTCTTCACCATAAGGGGTCTTTCCATTTTTTTATCACGATAGCGACTTATGCTGCTTGCACCATACGATCTGAGCATCTGTTGTCCACTTTCTTCAGCACAAATGCCACAAAATAAAAGGGTAGACTTTAAAATGGAAGGGTCGATGCCAGGTAACACACTCTCCAAAAGGTTATACACCTCAAGAGGAATTCCATCAACAGCTTTGGGACCTCTTCCCTTTACTTCTGCCAATTTGTTTCGAAGAAAGAGCAACTGGCACGTGGTGAAGTGATTTAATTCTCCATAAAGCAATCGCTTGGCATGCAATTCTTGTTTCCAGTCTCGAAGACTCTGTTCCATGAGTTTACTCTCATCCATCAGATCATTTGTAAGAGAGCGGCTATTAGAAAGTTTTGGCGAACAATCAAATTTACGTTGCCACTTGAGATGACTTACTTCTCCAGCTTTGCAAAGAGAAATGTATACTGAGGCAAGACGATGAACACATTGTAGAATCTATCAATTGTTAATATAAAAACAAAATTAGGAATCACAATTCAATTTTAATTTTAATAAATGTAACCCGACAACACCTTTTCTCCAGAACCTAAAAGAGTTTCCCTAAGATACTGGCAAAGCATAAAATCGCCTTTTAATCTAAGATTACTTTCAAATAATACTTCAGTATCTAAAATAAAATAAACAATTCTAGAAAAAAAAATATTAAGATAAGTCAGAATAAACCAAACAGGAAAAAGATGGGTAAGGGTGAACAAAAGTAACTTGGATAAAAGATAATGATGCAAATACTTTTTAAGCAGCACAAACCTCAACGGGGCCTCCTGAGACGTTTTTAGAAAACCAGCCCGAAGATTATGAACAGATTAAAGCTCACGAGGAGGTGTACGATAAAAACATGGAAGTCGCCCATGTTTTGTTTATGAATGCATTCTAGGTTTCAAAATTGCCAATAAAAACTTACATCCAAAAATCTGTCTACTTCTTCTTTCCCTTGTGACGCTTTCGCTGCAATAAGCATCAGTTTGCTCTGCAAATCCTTTAAATCGTTCAGACTGTAAATCTTACGGTCAACGCTATCTTCAGCAGGCATCTGAAGTTGAATTACTTTGTCAGGTGTCAGTTGTTCCATTGCTGGTAATGCTGAGGCATCTCCATCTTGACATCCTACGCAGTATACGCCCTGTGCATTTATTTTCTCAGCTTCCATTAAGGAAGACATAGCCACAGACCCATGAGACTTTTTGACACTTTTAATCCACTCAATCTGACGGCTGCTTTCTAGCTATAGAGGGTTCAAAGTAAAATCGATCAAGATATTACATTGTCTGTATCATCGATCAGCTAGGAATGTAAAGTCACACCAGTGTGTCTCGATTGTGATACACAATCTTGCACAATCCTTTTCCACCAAGTGAGAGATGAGTCAGTGAAAATTGGATATGATGCTCAATTTTAGAAAAAAATGCTAAAAAATAAAAAAGTCATCACCATTCACCACTATTCCAACAACCTCTCTTTCTACAATAACATCCAAAGGAAACAAAACGAATATGTGCCTAAGTTCAGTACACTCACATCTCATGCAATTAGTTAGTTGAGCGGATTCATGTTTGAAAGAAAACTGCGACGGAATAACAGTTTTGGATTGAAGGATTGGCGGATTTGCATACCCGATTCATATCCTTCCCTTGCCCTTTTTTGTGTAGCGAACGGGAAATACTTCTTATATGCGCCGATAACAAGATTCAGCAACGGGTTTAGCTCTCTATAGAGTCAAGCTCTCCGATTTTTGCAGTACCCATTATTACCAGTTTTTCAGGGAGCTTAGGGTCAGCATCCACTGCATTCCACACTGGCTCACAAATCCTCATCAAGCGACTAAAGCCAACCGAATTTTCCAAGTCAAAAATAAGGGGAGCAAATCCAAGACAACTGGCGTGTAAACATGTTATTCGGGCAGTTTCCATGTCTGTCTCCCCAGCTGAAATAATTGCCAAATCCACGAGCACCTTAAGTTCTTGAGGCCCTACAAAAAGAAAATAGAGATGTCAACATTTTGACAGTTTTAAATGGATATACTTCTATTTTCGATTTCATTTCTTTTTCAATTTTCGATTTTACTTCTTTTTCAATATTTGATTTATTTCTTCTGCTTTCCATGACGACAACTTTCATATTTATAGTAATATTCATTATTACCTCTTTATCGATGTTATAACAAAGCTTGTTTTTTCGCAACGCAGAAATTACTGACCTTACCGATGGAGAGATATTGTGGGAGATTTAAGAATTTTGTCGTAGTTTACACGAGTGCGCTTCATCTGTGCGGTATTCACACTGAAAAATGGAGGTGTAATAAAGAACATGCGAATGTTATATCTCACCTTTGATAGTATCCTTCAGCCATGAAATGAAGGGTTGACATTTGGACACAACATCGAGACAACGTGCACGCTCACAAGTTATTCCAGATAGTAGCTTGCCAGTCTTCTCTAACTCTTTGCTCATGCTTTTCAATGGGCGCTGTTTAAATTCATCGTTCATCTAAGGAGGGAAATGTGTTGCAAGAAGACACTGTGAAGAAAAACCTCAACTAATTCTTCTCAGCCCTTGAGGAAACACAGAACATCTCCTTTGCTTATGTTTCCAACATGAGACAGTTTGCTGCTGGTGCGACTTAGTTAATTTCCAGACCAGTGACGGGAATAATGAAGTGGTTTAGAAATTTCACTAACTACCCCTTATCATAAGTGGTTTGAGGAGGAGAATTTCGGTCTGGTCACCACGTGGAGAAAAAAAGGAATTGTTACATCACTGGCTTGGTCCCTGAGCAAAACTTAAAATGGCGCCGGGGCTGGTCGAATTTTTTTCAAAGTTGATAGACAATTCTCAAAGGGTCAGCTTATTCTTTGAAGTGTCAGGAGGCGATCAATTCCCCAAGTGGTTTCAGGCTCGCGTGCAAACGAAAAAGATAAAAGATAACAAGTTCAAATGAGTTTTCGGTGTGATGGAACAACGTCTACCTCCATATGTTGTCACATGTTGTTAATTAACAGTTACCTCTCTCTTGTCTGAATATTTAAATCAAACTGTCATTAAGCTAATAGTGTACCTTCACTATCACGTTTCGCAGTGTTGAGTGACAGGAAGAAAGGAGGGCCGTCTGTGTCATGGTAAGCACACAAACACTCAACAGCATTTGATGGTCTTTTTTTCGGGGGGGGGGGTTGGGGTGCGGGGAAGGAGGACTAATGTACTTCAACTTACGTTGAGCATACCTGGTTGTACAGATCTTCCACGTCTCGAAAATCACCATTAAGGCCAAGAGCGTTCTTAAAATTTAGGATAATCTCAGCAGCCTTGATGCAATTATGCAACTTGTTGTACTTCTGTATCTTCTCAATGTGCTGGTTGATTACTTCATCGAGAGCATGAACTTGGGCCCCATTATGACTTGAGGTAATGAGTCTCATTTCTTTGCCAAGATCTCTATACCTTTGATTGAATACCTTAAGCAACCTGTCTACCTCCTTAAAAGAAATGTCTCCACTAAGGAAACTTTGTTTCAAACGTTGCAGCTCCTCTTTTGAAGGTGTCCAAACAAACTCCACAATATCCTCAATACTAAGGAACTTCTTTAGTTCTCCTCTCTGTCCAATCTTTGTGAGTGCTTTGCGCCCATTTTCAACCCAAAGTTGCCTTAGAAGAACACTGTCTGCTAGCCGAGTGAAAGAAGTGATCATCGAAGTGGCTTCTGAAGAAAGACCAAAGAACTTGACAAAGGGCAACTTCTTGTCGCCAACAGTCACTGATTGTACAAGATCTTTGACAGGACGACGAGACGCATCCTCCACTGCCTTCCGTGACAATTTATGAACATCAGCTAAAACGTCAGAAATATAACAATAACTTATTCATTCCTTGTAAATAGGGGTGACTTCTTAAATAAGTAAAATGGACCTCTTTCAATACCTTGCTTAATAAGAGAGCACATCTTAACGAAGGAAGTTACTTTATCTCGCTCGTCCTGAAAAGCTTTCAACTCCTCACAACGCTGACGCAAAATTTGCCTTAGCAGAAATATCTTGCTTTCTTCTTTGTTAATCAGTTCATAAAGCTTCACAAATCGTTCTGAATTGTCCCGAATTACAACCAACATCTGAAATTCTACAGATCCATCTTTCAGGGTATTCACTGCATCTTCAAAGGATGAGATGGCTAACATCAAAATTTCTTGTCCATCTTCTTTTAACACACTTCGACAGTTGGATTCCACACCTGAGAAATAGCCGAAAAAGAAACGTAACTTGTGTCATTTTCATAGAAAAATCTCGGCGGCAATTAAATCTTGTTATACACATAGTTTAAACGCTTCGCAGTCGATATGAATATACGTTATAAACTGTCAGTTGAATTTTAAAATTGTACATACTTCAGCAGGTAAAAGAAAATTTCGATAGAAATTCAAAATGTTTAAAACGCAAGACGCGAGTATTTAGATGCTCAGGCTGTTGGGAAGCTAAAAACGCGACCGCGTCTATATGGCTTGATTTCGTTATCGGAATATAATTTCAAATATGAAGCGTACAAGAAACAAAGCCTCTTAGCATTGCAAAATCCAAATTGAATCAACAACGTGAAAAAAGACCCATTACCAAATCTCTGGAAAAAGCCAGGCCATAATTTCCATGTCAGTACGTGCTTGAGTGTGGCTTTAGGTGAGCATGGAACACCTCCTTGTGGCTTTGGCCAACTCCTTTTAAGCATCAGAGTGAGGAGATCACCGCATTTCGAGGCTTGAGAGGACTGAAGCCCATCAGAAAGGTTCCTGAAAACGTCTTCCCCCTCGCTTCCTCTCTAAAATACAGAAAAAACAAGTGCTTCTCGGTAAAAGACAAACACGAGGAACAAACTAACATAAAAATTGACCCAAAATGCTTGATCAAACGGTATTTCAGAAAATATCGTCATAATCAATTGATGTTTCTCCATACCTGAAGCATACTTTCAACTTTCCGGAAGGTTACCTCAGAAACCAAGTCTTGAACACGGTTATGTTGGCTTAGCATGTTAGCTTTGGTTAAAATTTCAACCAAATCATTACTATCACACTACAAAAAAAGAAAAGGCGTCCAGTGTCAATTTGTTTCAATCAAGTATTGTGATCTATAGGAAGACAGACGCATAGATGACGTCAATATCAACAACTTCTTGCCTCTCATTATACAAAAAGAAGAATAGGTTCCATGTCACCGCAAGTGTATACAGCACTAGACCACAGAAGACGTAAAAATTTCGTGAGTGCATCAGTAACAAACTCGACAGCGCCTCGTATGCCACTTGTGCTTACCACGAGAGACTGACTGAACACAGACGAATGATAATAAATGGTGACGTCAACTTTCGCATTGCTGAACATCATCGACTTGCGAACCACGCGCAATGCCTAACTACAGCTAAATACTCTCCACAAGTGACTCTGGAAAGCTGGTTCACCTCCTTACAAGAGACTTCCCTCAACAATTGTCAACGACTACCGCCACCGTAAAAACACCTTACTCACGATATCTACTCAACCACTAGAGCCTTTCAGACAACAACATCACGACCGGTATTAAAAAATAAGAGTTGTAACACCCGATCGACAACAACTTTTCAGTCGAATCTGATGATGAATTCCGCGAGGGTTGAAGAAAATTTCCGTCACTGCCACAAATAACTTCCTAAGACTACTCTCACTCGCACGATCAGACTCGCGATCAGGTGTCACCCCTTGGTTCAACTATTTTACTAAACCACCATGCATTACGCAATCTTCCAAAACAAATACATCGAAAGAATTCCTTTTAAAAAAATGCACTGAATCAGTCGAACGGTTATAAAAGATAAAGGAAGAATAAAACTTGCGTCTCCTTGCCAGTTCCAAACGCGCCTCCAACTCTGCAGACAATCGGCCTCTCCAAATCTCTGAACACTCTTTGTTTTCCCACTCAATACACAGCAACTTTGTCCAAATCTAGGATATGAAAAAATTGTTAGTACTTAATTCCGTCGACATCATCCGTAATAGGTACGATTTCCAACGACGAAATTATTTATGTTAATATTCTGGTTATATTCCTGTTGTAGAAAATTACCACAGAGCGAGTTACATAAAAAAAGGATATCACTAGAAGGGAGACCAATAGGACGCCTATTTAAATGAGTATTTTTTGCTTCTAAAATTAAACATTAGAACAAATATAAGGTATTTTCCTTGAGAAGAAAGCCGAGAGAATATTTTGAGAGACGTTTCCTAATTTTTCCTATGATAAGATGATTTGAAATGTGCAACAATAACGTTACACATACATAGAAAGTACTTTATGAATTGAAGAAAAGTAAAGTACAAAGGCGATGAATGATAAACAAAAATTACAGGAACGAATTACAACGAACCGACGCTATTTATTCTATTCCGTGCAATGACTGTGATAACGAGTGTATCGGACAGAACAAACGTCAGTTGAGTACACGTTTGAAAGAGCATCAAAAAGCGGTCTTCTTTTGCAAAAAAGAAAATTCAGCTTTATCGGAGCACACATGCCTAACCAACCATACAATTGGGTGGGATAAGTCTAAAAATTATCCTCACTAATCAGTGTTACCACCAGCGCCTTTGTTTGGAAGCCCAGTATATCAACTCCGCCCACGCTCCTTAAATCGTGATGATGGCGGCTTCCTGACGCCTATTTACACCTCGTCAGAAAAAAAGGCAGCTAATTAGTGAGCGTATAAAAGGACCTCTTGTTGCAGCGTTTAGATCACCCTTGATGAAGGCACTAGACAGGAGTGTCGAAACGTTGGGTCTATGAATTGTGACTTCTCGGTTACATTCATTAAATCTTTAAATCAGAGTAGCATCAAACCACGTCTGATTGTCCACCTGGTTGCCATGTGAACTTTAATATGTCTATGTGAGAAGAAACTCGTTGTGCTCATTGAAATAGAAAAGAGCCATTTCTTCCTTTTTTTAAAAGCTCAGCACATTAATGTATCACGACTAAGCCCCTCCCTCAGTGATGGAGGATGCTTAATGCATTACGAAGAAAGACCTAACTTAAATACCTCCAACTCTTCGTTTGTCTCAGCTATATAGTACCGTGGAATCGTTCTCATAAGCTTTTTCTTCAACCATTTTTTTACAACTTCAAAACTGTCAAGCACAACTCGCGCGATGTCTTTTGTCATATGGTTCTCTCCCTGCTCAGGTCTCCTGCATGATACAGAGACCCAGGTTTCGATGCTACGCAAACAGTCACATAACAGATTAAAATCACAGGCAGAAGATACAGCTGCTAGAATCTGTAAGCAAGACAAGACAGAGAGACTGGCTTCTTCCTTCAACGTGGCCGGGTCATCACTGACAGTAGATCTAATCAAAAGGTAAGAAGGGAAATATCATTTAAGGAAAAATTCATTAAAAGAAGCTTCCACGAATGGTGCATGTTCTAATAAGACAGGGAAAGGAATAATACACCACAGAAATCGACCTGGCCGACAGATCAAAATTATTTTACGAACTACCATTAATTTAATCATCACAAATGCAAGCAAAAGAGGTTTTAGAAACGTGTTTAAATAAGAAATATTTGCCCTATTCCGATAAAAAGGTTATTACAAGGCGAAACAAGCAAGTTTCAATCTTTCAAACGCTCTAGTGAAAGAAATCATATTAATTAAAAAGGGAGAAGCTATTCCCCTTATCAGGTACTCAGGTAAATTTGATGCCAAAGGCAATTTAAAAAGCTCACTTGCAAGAGTTGTTAATCCCAATAAGCCACAGAGTCACGATATGGCCCACTCAGTGGGATTGAGGATATATTCGGGCATACAAGGAACAAATTTGATATTGAGACGTGTTCACCTACGGTTTTGTTTTGATGTCAGAAGCTGTCTTGACATTCCTCTCAATCATTTTCAAGCTGAGCGCAACTGCATTCCTCTAGATATCATAAAAGTCAACAGAATTGTAAAATTCAGAACTCAATTGTGATAAAGGAGTAGCATGCTTAAAAAAACCATAAAAATATTATCTCTACATAAAAAAGTAGCAACGACCAATGAAATTACTTGTTTGAAAATTTTCTTCAAATGTGCTAAAAACTCGACTATGTAAGTTGTATGCCTGTGATGTGATTAAGTATTACTCCCCCTCTTCCCATGGTCTGTTGGCACAAATTAGGAGTTAATCGAAAACACATTCCTGGGGTATATTTCTTCTCTTTCTCCTAAGTAGACTTACTTCACGTACGTTTTAAATCGGTGTTGTTGTAGTGAGGAGAAAACTATTTCAAAACTTAGTTTGTAACTGACGTCTTTCAAGATGGTAATATGACAAGAAAAAGAAAACCAAACCAAGGTTCTTTATTAAATTACTTGGCACTTTTGAAATGCAAAAGTTTCGCATTTTTCCTAGTAATTAACGGTCAGGACATGAAGTTTACGAAGTTAAACATACACACACACACACACACACACATATATGTACCTCTTCTTCATTTACGTATTTTTTCTCTGACAAAATTCTTGCTAAGGTGGTGCAGATCTCAAATGGTGCAAATATTTCAGAGGACGCTACGCTCCCAAATTCACTACAAGGAACCACGAGGAGAAAAGTTCTTCTGAACAGAGGATCCAGTGCAAACAGAGGACTCAGCAAATCTATCCAATTCGAGGGGCACCTGCGACAATTAAACAGAGAAATAACATAAAGCCATGTACCAATACTTTTGTGGGCTGACAAATTTTAGGATCTAGTTTTCAAATACACTGCTGTTATGAGCAGGCTCATCTATCTTTGAAAATTTAAGTCCTCAAAGATACATCTACAACACTCCTTAAACATTTTGTTTGTTGACCGCTGTCACCTTCGCCATTAAATTGCGATCATTATGTTAAAAACACTTTAATTAACGACAACCAACACAGCTTTTAAAGAGTCTGGCTTTAGTTCCCTAGCTTACTTGCTTGATCATCACAAAAACAATATGTACAACTTTAATATTACATCGTGCTGCTTTAAGTGTATTTTCTGCAACTTGGAACCGCATCAGCCACAGCAAATATAGTCCGCCAAGTCAATAACAGCAGCAACAACAACAACTCTGATTTTGTATCTCGCATTTACTTTTTCTTGCTCATTTTATAATTACTGGAAGAGAGGAGAGATCTAACTACCTTAAATAGCTATCGGGAACTAGTAAAAACAGTGTTGTTTTTTCTTACGTAAGAAATACAATAATTTTATTTCACAAACCAAGACATAGGAGGACAAACTTCAAACAAAGGGGAAAAACAGCATTTTGATGGTATACAAGTAAGGAGGATGTAGAAGTGTTTTGCTTATTGAAACTCAATTTTATGCCAGTGATCATATCCCGACATAGGCCACAATCATAACTAGTCCGCAAGTCGTCAGAAAAAGTTACTCTTCGATGAAAAAGGATGAAAATACCTCTCCCTTGTAAAAGACCTTTCTCTCACAGCTTTTGTTTCAAATCCATTAGCTCCCCACCAAGTTTCATCTTTTTCCTTAGGTTTTTCCGTAAGCAATACAGAGCTGTCAAAAGGTGCGCATTCTTGAGTGAGAAAGTGGACCAGTGGTACAGCAAACAACCAGTCATGGAGATTTCGATGATTCTTGCTCACATGTCTGCAAATACCTTGAATGGCTTCACCGATATTCCTACGCACACATACACAAAAAGACCACTGTTATTACTGCTTGAAATATTCGTCGTTAATGCAGAGATGCATGCAGAAAAAAAATTATATAGTTTAGCATTCGATATAGGTTCCTTTTTAAGAACATAAATTCAAACTAAACAGCACTTACTGCCAATGTTCACTAGGAAAGTGTTTGAGAAGCCTGTCAAATTCTGAACAAGTTCCTTGATTTTGGTCTGCATGAAGAGTCAAAGAGGAGAACAGCTTTTCATACTCCTTAGGATCTAAAGGGACTTTTTGTACAGAAATAAGGTAGGCAATTGCTACCGATGATACTAAGGGAGAAATTCTTCGCGCGTCTTCTGGTGTTGATTTACAGGCAGCGTTCTTTTCAGTCTTCTCGATAAAAAAGTCCCTCAAAATCTAGAATGTAAAAAAGATAAGTAGAGTATCATTAATTCACTATTCCCTATCGTAAATATCAGTAATAAATATTATTATTCAACTGCATAAAGTAGAGTACATATAACGCGCGATTAGATTATAAATATTCCGCGATATTATACGGTTACTTGGACAATTAGTTATTTTGTACTGTTTAAAAAAAAAACCTGTGCAAACAGTCAAATAAACTGAGCTGCGCGCGCTAAGATCTCTATCCGTTTTGCTTTTCCCGCCTTATGAGAAAAGAATGTAAGACTCAGCAGAAAAAAAAGCTGTTGGATAATAAATAACGTATTAGACGTTTTGGTATGTAGTATCGCTGAGTAGATTTACTCGTTGTTTGTATGGCATAACTCGAAAAAAACTCAGCGATACTACATACTAAAACGTCTAATAAGATATACATATTCTAAGAGTAAGTTTTATGTATACTTCCCATAACACTTCCCGAATAAGGCACTAGTCTAACAGTTCTGAGACTACAAGAGGGACCCATCAATGAGCCCGACACTAAGCCGAGAGAATTAGCCGTTCAAACAGTCAAATAAACTGAGTGATGAGTGATAAGATGACCTAGTAGCGGGCGTTTGTTTCAGTAGCTAAATAACGTTCCAAATAATTAGCTAACCTCTTTCAATAGCAGGACCATATTAATGTAGGATAGTCGTTCTTGTTTTCTAAATTGACTAAAAATCACCCGAAAAATATTTTTAACACAAAATTTTAATTCTTTTAGACGAAAAAGGTGTTTTTCTTTATCAAGAAAGATTCCTAGCTCTCATCTTACAAGTTTCTTGCGATTAACGGCTGCGAATAAATAAATGGTATCAAGTGACTGTTACTTAGAATATGAAGTAAAGGTAGATAAGAAAAAATTATACTCATTGCAAAGATACACAGTCCAATGTAGGTTCCTAACTGGCAGAGGCATGCGCCATGATGTTGAAGGGCTAATTAACACACATCACACTTCTAATAGATTTAACCTCAAATAAAATAAATACTATCCAGGAAATGTAGAAAAGTGCATTATTGATTGCATACTCTCTTAAAGTTATATCCTGATGGAACATTTCCTGTGTAGATACCATAGTCTTCAACCTTCGATTGTGTCATGCAGTAAGCTAAATCATTCACAACCCCTACTGCCTCCCAAGCAGTCATATTTGTGTCAACTTCATGCTCGTTGAAACCTTCCCAACGAGGCAACATCGCTTTCGTTGCGATGATTCTGCCTTCCAAAGGACCTGTGCTTCTTAGGAACGGCACAAGATTTCGGATACTTTGAATCCATCCTGGCGGACAAAAAATTGTGTCGTCGTACTGGTGCCAGACGGCTGTTGGGAAAATAAAATTTAAACGATAGTAATTCGAGAGGTCTTGATAAAGGCCGACAAAGACCTATTATCCAAAAGTAAAAACGAAATTCAGCTCAAAACTAGCTATGTTTCGAACAGTTTCGATATTCCAACGATTATAGGCAGTGGTTAATTTGTTAATAAGTACTACTTAAATTCATTCATTGAGGTCAAAGAAGCTGCGAGCCACTGTACTCGGAAAATTAATTAAGATGGGTGAGATATCGAGGCCAATGAAGTGACTTCGTATTTTAAAACTATTGGCTAGGGACGATCATGGTTCTCTATATGGTCTACTCCTGTCTAGTTGCAGAAAGCACGTAATAATTTCGAAGTTCGTTCTGCTTTCTTGGCGCAATAATGCTTCTCTTCTCAAGCAAGAGGTCTGGGGATTGATTTCAAGCAGGAACAATTTTTGTCTTGTCTTTCTTTCTCTTTTCTTTTTCCCTTTTTTAGTAACAAAAAAGTAAAGCTAAGAAAATAAATACACAAACATACCTTCAGTCTGACACCTTTCCTTCGGAATTTGAAGGCATCGGTTCTTATAAACTCCTCCTGACAGGTAATCCCAAACATACGGCTCTTCCTTTTCGTTTCTGTCTGCTTTTAAGACAATATACTTGTAGGAAATGTTGCGATTAGCGTCAACAACTGGTACAGATAGTTGTGCCTTAACCAGGATAAAATCATTTTCAAGCAACCTACGTGTGGATAAAAATGACATGATAGGAGTCAGTGTATGCTAACATGAACAAGAGATTTTCTATCATATCTGTTAGAGCTGTTGTTGTCGTCCATTCCACTTTTGTCCAACGAGGTAGTTAAGAAAAACTTGTAACCCGTAACCTGTTAAAGAGTTAAAAACAAACAAAAAACACGAAAAAAAAACCACCTAGCAAGTCACAATTGGTTTTACTTTTGCATCTCATTGGTCTATAGAGGTGGCGCAAGTTTTGCAGACGAATTAAGTGCAATGTCAGAACAAAACTTAAGACTTAAACTTAAGTCGTTTCATTTCAAGAGACTTTTCAACGTTTTTGATGGCGACAACTTTCGTACCTTTAAAATAATTTGTCCTAAATGTCGCCGGTAAATACCCTTGTTGCGTGCACTTGTTAAGCAGCCTATTTAGTCTATTTATATTATTAAGTTATTTTAGGAAGGGGTTGGGTTGGAGCTTAAACCTAGTGGGGAACTTATGTCCTATTGTTTTTGCTCCGGTACTGCTTTGTACAAATCTTTAAGTAAAACTAATGCACTTTAGAATAATTATCAATCCTAAATTACCATTACTGTAACGTACTAATTTAACAAAACACATGCGAAAAACCTATTCAGGTTACCATATTAGCACGAATAGGAAAACTAATGGGGTTTTCGGGAATAAACGCTTCACGGCTCGAGAATGTACATGTAACTACAAAAATGGAAGTTACAATACAGGCGGCTTCTGAGAAATTTTCAAGTAGCATCAACGCATGAAAGTGACATAATGAAATATGGGCCTACCTTTCTGGATGAACTGCTGCAACATTCTCATTGAAATTTCCATAACGAACTCCACCAAACCTCATAAAAATTCTGTCACCTTGACTAGCATCAAATTTAAAATTTGGTGAAAGAACGGCATGAAATACAACAGTCATTTTGTTTCCTTTGTATTTGGCAAGATACTCTTTATTCTCCTCTGGTTCTTTCTTGCTGTCGCAGCTTACATTGCGGTTATCAAGTTCTTTATCACCCAAGGTATTAGAGTCTCTGTCCTTGTCGTTCTTTTGCCCCTTTAGCTCCTGGTCGAGCTGTGACCCTACTTGTTGTCTTTTCTCGCTGCCATACAAGGATTAAATTAGGCGGCATTAAACAATTGTGATATACTTTATTAGCCTGATGATATACTTTTCTTGATAAAATATTTTCTGACAGACGCAACAACTCGTGTGAAAACACTTTGGATAATTATAATATGAAGTTTTGCTTATTTTAATATCGACTTCAAGATAGGCTTTTAAGGAAGCAATATTCGTAAGACTTAAGAAGAAATTTGTGCACGGCTTCTACTCCGAGCCAGCCTTAATTTTTCATTTCATCATCACATATGAAAGAAGTCGTATGTCTGAGTGAATTACTATTTAAGCCATGACATCGCGTGAAAGAAAATGTTTTTGATGTGAGTTGGTACCACTGTTATGGAGGTCATGACTTTTGTCATTATGATTGGGCATTTCTTTACGTCCGACAACAATATCTTACCATCAGCTGATACATAATTCATGTTGTAAACTTTTTTTTAAGAATCTCGACCCCACTTGTCTTTCAAAATTGATGTTCAAAGACCATACATACTTGATTTTCACGCGTGCTTCCTCTTCCTTTTTCTTTTTCTTTTCTTTCTTTTTATCCCTGTCCCTTTGAGCCTTGCCCTTTCGTTTAGTCTTTTTTGAACCTGGCTTTGCTTTTGGAGCGTTTTGAGATGGTTCTTCTTCCTGAAGTTACAAACAATATGAATATGATAGTGTTATTCAATACCAAAAATTAAGAGATGCCAGACTACATCTTCATTCTTAGAACATTTACTTACGATTTTAATCGTCTTGAAGCACTATTTACACACAACAGATGACAAGATTTACCTCTGACTGTGTATCACTTTCATCTCCACCGCTTTCATTTTCATGATTGCTGTCCTCGTCCTTCGTGGGCTGACCATCAGCTTCAGATGGCTGAGACGTACTGTTCGTACCAGACTGGCTACTGCCGCCTCCTTGGTTTTGATCACCTCCGATCCCTACTGGTGTCTCCCCTGTTTGTAACGAAGTATTACAAGGGTTAGAGGAGTCCGCAGTTCTCGGTAGCTTTGGCAATAACTCTATTTCCTACATGTATCTATCAATGAATTATGAGATGCGTAATGCAATGTTCATAATTCTTTATATTTTTCACATCTAGGGGAATTCTAAATACTTGAACTGTTGTAAAGCTACTTACGCAGTAATTGTCCATATCTTTAGGCATACTTTAATAGGGTTTTCTGTATAACCTTTGTAAGCTGCCCAAAATCAAGGAATTTGATTTGTTGACCAGATATTGCCAACAAAATTTTCTCTTCCACTCGCTCCCATACTTTAGCTGGTGGCATGTATATTAGATCTAGTGTTAAACGCAACAGCTAGCATAACACATAGGAGAGAGGTGATTTAAATGCTTAGAAGTCTAACATGTTTTACAGTGACTTCTATGCTGCAGCTTGGATGGGGCAGGAGGGGGGGGAATGGATGGAATTACGGTCAACTCGCCGACGGTCCAACTCGCCGACGCCAACTCGCCGACGTATAAAATCGAGTAGAGACGTCGGCGAGTTGGTCCTCAATCCAATACAACTTATTAGAAGTTAAACATACAGAAAAGTAAACGATATTTAGTAAAAAAAACACTGGTGAACATTGGTGAACATCAGACAGAAGCTTAAACATTGGCTTGGCTTGTGACTTCCATGATAACTGTTGCTAATGGTGGTGACATACTTAGAATGTAAAGAGAGGTTTTGAAGCTAGTAGAGTAGAGCTCTTAATTGCACATTCATGCTAATTATGTATCAGACAGGAGTAAGAGAGAGTCATTGTGTCCTTTGTGAATGCTGTATCATCTATGACATAAAGGCATTAACATATCCCAGTGTATCAACCTGTGCAATCACAAGTTATAAGAGACAATATAAACAGGTTTGTGTCACATTTGAGGAATGCTCAGATGCAGGATGTTGAAGTCTGTACTGATGTTTTGATTTTTTTTGGATCCAGTTGTGATCTGGTTTGAATAAGTTGCAAAAGTTGTTTTTCACTTTCCTGCAATTTGATTGGTTTCTTTTAACAAGCAATTGGTTGCTGAATTTTAGTAAAGCTTCCTCGTTGGCTGAGAAAAAGATGTGATTTAGAGCAAAAAAATGATGCAATTCATAAATAAACTGCTGATACTGATGGTGAAATAACCTCTCTTTAGAGGAGAAAAAATTTACTCTAACTTTTCATGATGCACAAATCACACCTATTAAAGATATTTCTGCAAAGAATTTGTTTTTTTTGGTGAGGTATTTATTACCTTGTGTCACCACAATAACTGAAACAAGGACAATATCATGATGCGCTAGTGGCTGTCAAGCTAAAGATATTCTGAAATAACAAAAACAATAGGAAGCACCAGGAAACATCGGGTCAAAAGTGAGTCAAGTTCAGAATTTTATTGTTAATTGCCATCACTTGCTCAATCATCCCCATAACATAGTGGCTTCGCCCTCTATTATATAAGAGGCAGTAGCCACAAAAATAGGCCCTCACACTTTTGTTCCTCACTGTTCAGTCCAGGTTGGGTCTAGATTTCACAGAAGTTTGCCACCTCTCCACATTAACCCTCCTAGGTTTGTTTAAACAATAGGATAGTGGGCCTAATTACTAGGGTTCACATCTTTCATGTGCCAATTAAAGACAGCTACAGAAGGGTCTCAGTCTGAGCCTGCAGGTGTACATCAGATTGGTTGGTAGTGATATACTAACTGGTGTATTTAGTCAGTGGTTTTTATGACTTTGACTGACTTTATTTAGTGAATATGTAGCTTCACCCACAGTATGGAATTTCTAATGGGATAATGCCCAAAGCTTTGCAACCTCTTTGAAAGAACTGAGACCAGTTTGCCTGAGTCATAATTTACAAGGTTACTTATATCCAAGGAAATTGTTGAACTGTGGTGCTGGCCAAGTAAAATAATTGGTGTGTCTGATACAAACAATGATTTGAAAAAGGTGGTTCAACTGGGGCTGTTGTAACATCCCATGGAGACGAGAGAACTGAAATAATCTATCTTGAAGGACTTACAGACATTTGATTTTGTTAACTTAGCATGCATTCATCTTATGTCCTCCAGAGTCTCCTTCTACTTAGTTTACTTTAATCTTGAATTTTCCAATACCTGTGGCATCTGTAGGTTCACAACTATCAGTAGTCTCTGGCACACTTCCTGTGGGACTTTCTGTTGCACTGGTATTGGTGGTTGACTGTTCCTCTGTATCTACTATTACAGAATTTGGAGCAGGAATTCCATTCTGTTCCTCCACTTGATCCAACACAGTGAGGCTCTCTATAGCTACAGTGTCAACATCGCCAGCTTCACTTTCTGATTCAACTACAGATTTCTGTTTTGCTGGTTTTTCTTCTTGTGTGTTTATCTCTCTTTTTCTTTTTCCCTCATCTGCAAAAAAAAATAAGGATTATTACACTTTTGTTCCTCACTGTTCAGTCCAGGTTGGGTCTAGATTTCACAGAAGTTTGCCACCTCTACACATAACCCTCTTAGTTTGTTTAAACAGCAGGATAGTGGGCCTAATTACTACAGTTCACATCTTTCATGTGCCAATTAAAGACAGCTACAGAAGGGTCTCAGTCTGAGCCTGCAGGTGTACATCAGAGTGGTTGGTAGTGATATACTAACTGGTGCATTTGGTGGTTTTTTTGGCTGACTGGTTTCATTTAGTGAATTTGTGGCTTCACCCAGAGTAGGGAATTTCTAAGGGACAATTAACAAAGCTTTGCAAACTCTTTGAAAGAACTGAGACCAGTTTGTCTGAGTCATAATTACTAGTATCCAAGGAGATAGTTGACCTGTGGTGCTGGCCAAGTAAAATAATTGGTTTGTCTGATACAAACAATGATTTGAAAAAGGTGGTTCAGCTGGGGCTGTTGTAAAATTCCATGAAGATGAGAGAACTGAAATAATCTACCTGAAGGACTTACATCTGATTTTTTTAACTTAGCATGCATTCATCCTATGTCCTCCAGAGTCTCCTACTACTCATTTTACTTTAATCTTGAATTTGCCAATACCTGTGGCATCTGTAGGTTCACAACTATCTGTAGTCTCTGGCACACTTCCTGTGGAACTTTCTGTTGCACTGGTATTGGTGGTTGAGCATTCTTCTGTATCTGCTATTACAGAATTTGGAGCAGGAACACCCTTCTGTTCCTCCACTTGATCCAACACAGTGAGGCTCTCTAAAGCTACAGTGTCAATATCACCAGCTTCACTTTCTAATTCAACAACAGATTTCCGTTTTGCTGGTTTTTCTTCTTGTGTATTAATCTCTCTTTTTCTTTTTCCCTCGTCTGCAAAAAATGATAAGAATTATTAGTATTGAGGTAATATATTCATTCTTTAAAGATAAACAAAACATTGACTCTAACAAAATATAACAGAGAACCACAATGAAATCGCATTAGAGCAAGGATTTTATACTGCATTGGGATTCCAAGATCCACATCCTTAAGGTCATTCTTGCAAACAACAGAAAACTGAACATAATAGCTACATGGTGCACATAACAATATAAGGAGTTTTGCTATATCTAATTACTTAATTGGTGATGGCCAAATTTGTTTACAACCTGTTTTAATTTAAATTATGCATTCATGATTCATACTACACTTTTTGCTCTTCATTACCAGAAAATAAATTTTCATCAGAGTTCAATAATCAGTCTAATTACAGTGAATGTGCAATCATGCTTGGAAAATAAACAAGCGTGTTAATTTTGGAGTTATCAATGATGATTTTACATAGAGATGAACATTCATTAAGGCAAATGTAGTCTCACTTCAATGGAAATAGTGGTTGTTGAAGATGATGTAGCAACAATTTCTTCCTCTTAATATACACCAGCTCATTTGGGTTAAGTAACTGTTGAGCTTGAGCCAGGAAGTTCGTCATTGAATGCTCATCCCACCAACTATACAAGTGTAATGGACCAAGCCAGCAGCTGGAGACACAGCCATTTAAGTTATCATCACATTTCTTCCACACTGACAAAGGACTTGTCTGTATGCACTTTCACCGACTTTGGTTGGCCCATTGCTTCTAGTAGTCCATATACTGTATCTGCATTCATCAATAAATATGGAATGATGAATAATTCTGTTCATCATGAAAAAGTTCTGCAATCAGCCTGACTTTGGATGACATCTGGCCTGTTTCGATCAGCTAGTAGTAGCCTCACAAGTTTAACATGTATTGTCATACAGCCAAGAGCTTTTCCAACTGTCCTGTTTTGTACATGGCTTAGCTTGAAGTCTTATTCAAAGCTCTTGGTTAATCTAATGCAAAGTAAGTACGCAGTTCTCATCCACTATCTCACTGAGGCACTCCTTCATTCCCTCATCCAACTTCACATTATTCCAGCCACCACGTTGTTTCTCATTTGTACATCCCTCTTGGATGCATGTTGCTACATTAATGTTTCTAGCCATGTTATAATTTGCACCAAATGCATATTCTTTCCTGTTGCTCATTTGGGATATGATTTTCAAGCTGTCATTCAACCCTATGCTCCATTCTATGAGACTACTTTCCTGATGTAAACATACAATCTAAAGTTTTTCACTGCAAACTAATATTTGTTTCCTATGTCATGCAGCCTATCACTTGTGCATAATTTCCATCTGTAATTAGTGCTAATGAGTTCAGTTTTAAATGGGTGTAATCTGGAATGATAATAGGCTTCAGATACCAAGAATGAAGGTGGAGTTTCCAGTGTGTTGTGAAAATGAGACCACTGTATGTAAGAATATTCAATGTTCTCTCTGCTCTGAGCTGATTCAGTTTCAATCTGTGCTAAATATTGCACCACAAACCACCACAAACGTATTACTAAGACAAAATGAAAGCTAGGAAAAAAATGTTATTGGAGACATGCATATAAAATCTAAAACATTGTTACACTTGCTACAATAGAAAATCAATAAATTAATTCAAACTTAAAAATTAAATAAACGTCAATAAATCAATAAAGCCACAGGCACACAGGCACACAGGCATCCAACGGAATATCGATGGTAGCGAATTAACTAAATTCAGACAAAATCAATTCTGTGTTGCTTTCGACCTACTTTGAGGAGTCTAATATCTTAACCTGACGTCAGTGGAGAGGTGAAATTATCATTTAATCGTGGTGATTTTAACAACGCAAAAGAAAACTAAAGAATGAATTGTCCAGCACTGAAGAAGTTTAGAGATGTGAAAGTGAAAGTAACATTTTTAAGTCATAAAAGAGAACTTCATGACATAATTTTTGTCCATGTAAATTTCTCTTCACTAAACGAACGCTTTGATCGACAATCGGGTTTGCCTGATTTGGTAGGTAGGTAAAGGAGAAAAGAGCGATAAGATCTTACCAAGTGGAGCGTCTGAATTGTTGTCGACTTTGGATTTCTGTGCCTCCCGCGATAACTCTTTCGCATCTTCCGTCACGTTATGAACAGGAGGCGACGATGTTTCTTCGTTTGTCTCCAATTTTGTGCCACATTTAAAGCAGAAGGCATGCTCTGCTACGGAAGTTGTGTTTTTGCACTTAGGACATTGCATTGTTCGGATCTCACGATCAATTTAGGTCGCTAACGAACAGAAATGTTCTCCTGTGTTCAGCATCTCGCTATCTTCGTGGCAAATAGCGTTCTTGGAAAGACGGAAGTGGATTCCTGGAAACGAATCCACTTAGAAAAACATGGGGAAGACCCTGGGAACGGCACTGTCATAAATATTTGCCGCCTCCTCTTATCAAAAACGAATAGACACGCCGTTCTTGTCCTCTTCGTCATTGTGTTCCTTACTTCAAGCGTCAAATTTAAGTTTTAAAAGATTAAGTCCTCTTAAATCTGAGTTTTAAAAACATTCCCGACGTTCTCCTGTAGCAACTCCTTGAAAACACCTGGGTCGGGTTGTTCAAAGCTGGGTTAAGATAACTCAGGGTTAGTGTGAAATCTGATTTCAGATCTGATAGCTTTAAAAGAAAATTCAGTCGAATTCTTTTTGTCTAGAATATTATTATTTGATGCTCTAAAAATAAGACAGGAAATTATCCCAAAAAGGCTTTTGAATAAAGGAATAAAGAAACCCAGGTTAAAATTTAACATTGGATTAGCGTTAAACGGCCTTCGAACAACTGGGCCCTGTTCTGCAGGTCATCCAGGTAAACTTCTTGTACATCCTAAAGGTGCACACTCCAGGTGTGATCGACAGAAAGCAGGAAGATTAACAGAAATTATTTAAAGTGAAAAAGTTGATACTGCCCACTCCCCCCATCCCATACTAACGTGTTCTGATCTGGTATAGGAGTCACGTTTCACTGAATTAGCAGTTTTTTAATGCATCACGTGACCTATATAGCCGCTCAACTTAATTTAGAAGAATTGTTTGGGCTTAGAAAACAAGCGAACCCTGATGACAATGGCGCGTGTGCGAGACACTCCGTTCCAAGGACAGTCCTTGAAAATCGCATTTGCTGTCGCATAGCTTGAATCTACCTTGAAGATACAAAGGATATGGGAGATATTTCGGCACAACATTCGCCGCAAAGGAGACGAAGGAAAATTTCACAGTATGTTCGCGAACTTTATACTACATTAACCAATATACTCGACGACCAAGATCGAACCTTACTAATTCAATCACTGAATCAATATCAGAGAGATAGAAATGTAAACAATCTTGTTTCAACTCTAAAGTCGATCCTCGATACTTCAACGAAAAGAGAAGTATATCCGTTATTACGGCAGGTAGTTCCACACAATGACCAAGAGAAATTTAATATACTTTGGCACAGTCACGAGCATCCTAAGCCTCGCCAGCGTTCCAAATCGCCCGCTCGATCGCCGGCAAATCTTCACAGGATTCCTGCCTCATCGAGTCTACCAGATAACCTTCATAGGCACGTATCGGACTCGGGAATCGATCTGTCAAACATGACACAGTTCAGTTCTTCACGGGATGCTAAACATCCCATCAAGCGATTGTCTATTAAGCGACCTTCAAACTCTGGATTTGGGTTTTATATTCGTGGAGGATCTGAACATGGCGTTGGTTTGTATGTTTCCTCTGTGGATACAAATTCTGTTGCCGAAGCCGCCGGCATGTTACCTGGAGATCATATTATTCAAGTCAATGGCACGAAATTTGACGGACTGACACACGCGCAAGCTGTCAAGGTAACAACAAAAAATTGTTAATGGCCAGCTTTAAGTTAAAATGTGATTTCAATAATCTTTGATGTGACGAATTGCCTCTCTAAAAACCAATGTAAAAGCCATTTATTCATGGTGTTAAAAGGATTTAAGGTTTCCTTTCTGAAACTCGATGGGAAGTTATAGAAATGTGATCATTTCTCAAGAGGTAAGCAGAAGAATTCGAAGATATGTTTTGTTTGTGTTCGATGAAGTGTGTCTTAACCTCCTTGGGTGGGTTTTGTATTCATCACCAACGAGTGTAGTTAGTATCTTTACGACTGAGGACTTTTTCTTTTGAAGTATATCAGTAGTTAAACTATAGTTTACGGACCTACAATGTATTCGAAACTTGAGGAAAACTTCATGCATGTTCTCCTAATGAGAGTCGTACGAGATGTTAATTACTATGGTACTGTCTGTAGTGAGAAATGTTTGTTTTGATGTTCAGAAGTGCTATAAATTACAGGAGTTTCTAAACAATCTAAAAATTTCAAGTTCCTTCTCGATCTAAAACGTATAACCTTTTTGATTTGATTGTCATGGTTTCCGCATAGTACAAGTTATTGGGTTGCTTCATTTGAGTTTGTGAATTTTCATATATCTAAAAAGCTGTACAACTTGTTGATGACTACTCGGGACTGCACATCAAAACGCTCTCTAGAAGTTAAACGAATTATTTAACCTTTTTTCTCTAACTAGTCAAAAAACCTTTGGAAAAAGTGGCTACTAAATATGTCAACATAAACAATATATGCAGGTATTTTTCCAACCACAGATAAGAAATATACCTAAAATAAAAGTGCATTTAGACTGAAAGTGAGAAATAATTATGTTGTAAACATTCTGTTTTGTTTTGTTTTTTTCATTTCTCTATAGAATATTCAACATAGCAAGAAGCTTAATCTGACAGTCCAGTCAGTTGGTCGTATTCCTGATAGTTTTGTTGCTGAGTCAACTTGCAAATGGGTGGACACAAGGGGTCACAGAACCTCACCTCCACCTGGAGTTGACTCAAATGGGCGTATCTTAACAGCTGATGGCATCCATAAAAGTGATTTAAGACTTCTAGGAGATGATGATGAACGGAAGGTCAGTTTTGTTTCTTTCTCTTGGTGATAATACTTGTCAGTTTGAATTGATGTACATCTAATTTGGTATTATATATACCACAATGGTGAATAGTGCTTTTCACATGCGCTGATTGACTAGTTCAGAAATGGTGAGTCAGTACCATTCACCTCCATATATGTTAACAGAAAAGAAAAAATTTTGGTTTTTGGGTGGTATGTACTAAAAAAAATTTTAACCTTGGTGTCCTTGTGAGTGATAGATATTTACTCCACTTGGCTGAATAATTGTGAAATTTCTAAACCATAACTGTTTATAGATAAGAGCATAAAAAGTACTGAGTTGGAGTTCAAAATTTGGACCCCAAAATTAACTCAATTACATCCACAAAGCTTTGACATATAAGATCTTTTTTTTTTAGTGTGTGTCAGCTAATAAATGTACAGGTCTCAATGATATGTTTGAATAGAAGAATGCCCCTAGACTCTCAATGAACTTTGTTACCAATACATTTATTAGGTGCATGTAAATGTTATTATCAGTATATTATAACTGGTCAGTTTGTGTGTATGTTTTCTTTTGCAGGTGAACATATTTGTGGAGGATGGTACAAAGTTGGGGTTAATGATTCGGGGGGGTGCTGAGTATGGATTAGGAATTTTTATAGCTGGCATAGACCCTTACTGTATTGCTGAACAAGCTGGACTCAAGGTCAGGCAATATGAATTTGTTTTGTTGGCATAAAATCTGAAGCAACATTAAGGTTTCAATTGTTTATAACTGAGAGGCATGAAATGCTGTCTGAAAGAAAAAGCTTTCTTTCCAAGGAAATTGTGCTCTGATTCAAGGTATTTTCCTTATTTTGAAATAACCCTTAGTAATTTGATTTTCAGTTACATTTACTTAAAATTATGAGCACAAATATGTTTTGATCCTACTTCAGTATGGTTTCAAAATTTTCAGACCTGCATCAGATTAATCTTGTGCAAAAACAAGTTGAACCAAAGCATACATTCATTTGTACGTGTATGATTCAGAACCAGTATCTTGAAGAAGAACCTTTTTAGGTTTTAGGCTGTTGGGAAATATCTCAGAATTTTTAAAATTTGAAATTGTGAACCAGTTTCTGCATATTGGCAAGATTCAATTGTTATCTAAAGGAGGACTTTTTAATTTCTTTGGAAGGCTGGAGATCAAATCCTTGATGTAAATGGACAGAGTTTTCTAAACATCACTCACAAAAAGGCGGTGAAGGTTCTAAAATCAACCAGAAACATGATAATAACTTTGAAAGACATTGGCAGGTTACCATTCACCAGGGTAACTCATGACAAAACAAGATGGATAACACAACCTACTAAAAATGGCCAGATTCAACGGTATGTGTCATGTACACATCATGTACACATCATGTACACATGTTGGCTCACTGTTGGATTTTTTCTTGCTCCTTTTACATTATTTGTAGCTAGTTATGCCTGCATGATAAATGTATTAAAGCAATAAATCAAAGCAAAACCATTACATAATGATATATATTATCAGCTGGAAAGAGGCTGGAAATGAATAGGAGATGTTAGTTATTCAATGTTGTTGATATTAATTTCAAAATGCAAGCACTCCAAAAACATTTTGCCCTTTACGCAAGGTAGTTATTACATGGTAAATTACTTAAGACTCTTAAAATGTTGACAAAATAGTTTTGCAAGCAACACATCACTAACAAAATATAAAGTTAGTTTCAATTTTTTTTCACACCAACTTAAATGCTTGGGGAAATAAGTGAAAAATTATAAATTTGAAATGCTCTTTAATCAGGATTTCTTTATTTCAATATATTAAGGAATTGGGAAGAACTTTTTTTAATACTTTCCCTGTTTAAATATCTTGTTATATGCTTTTTTTGTCTCTTTTAGATAGTTTGTATCTACAGCATGTGTAATAGAGTATAGGCCAATCATAAATTCTTGAAGCAGTTTGTCTATAATTTTCCCTTAAAGCAGTAAAGCTGCAACATAAATTTATGGAGGAGAAGACTCAATTTGAATACACAATTTAAACATGCATCACAACTATCATTTGAATATTCTCTCTACACAAGGAAATTAATATAAAACTGTTCAACTCTGATATAAAACTGCCATAAATAATCACTATTCTCTTTAAGCTTCACTGTTCTTTTTTTCATTATCTTTCCTAAGTCTTTCATGACAGTTATTTTGACTGTTTTGTATGGTCAGTGATAATTTACATGACATATTCATCTATCTGATGTCCTGCTAAAAATTAACATCCATCTCTCCTAATTATTTCACTGACATTATGACTTTCTCTTTGGTGTGAAATATAACTCACAAAATGTCTTCTTTGTTTCACTCCTTGCACATGTTAATTTGCCATTATTATGCAGTGTTCCTGAGGTCACTCACATTACAGAGGTTGAGGTTCATGCACCTTCCGGCTCTGCCCTTGAAGGCCAACCACCTCAATCTTCTAGGTAGTTTACTCTAACTTTATTCTCAGATTGTATTTTTCTCTCAGAGTAATTATGGCAGAGTCAACACTTTTAGCTATTTGTGAGTTAAATTGAAGTTTAGTCAATGGTGAATTTACCAGTACCTGACTGAAAATGATCTAACAAAATTTCTTTAGCCTGTCACATTTCTCATTTTACATTTGATTCAATGGGTTTTGTTTAAGTTTTGTTTTATTAAGAGGGTATTTATTGCAAACTTGTTTTTAAGAGATTTCATTACCACCTTAATGCACATGTATTATTGTAACAAAATTAACTTGCCCAGGAGATTCCCATTCTTTGTTAGTTGGTTACATGTATGTCTGAGGACCCATAATGTCTTTAAACCAGTTAAGTATTACTACTGGTTCATGTACATGTAAATGCAATAATGAAAATCTTAAGAAGTTCTGCATTTTGAAGAAGAGGTTGTGAGACACCCACCTAGTGGAACAGGAGACATCAGCTAAAACAAAGTAATGTGATCATTATAATCATGGTAACTTGGTGAGCTGGAATACACACTGCCTTAAGAGCTTGATTTACAAATGTCATGCAAGTACATGTAATTGTAAGATTGGGTGCAAAATGTTATGAGAATATGTATTCTCTATTTGTGATCTAATAGTATGCTTCTTTTGCTTTTATTTCATAAAAAGACGACATACAGCACATGGAAGAATGACTGGTGATGGTGACACTGAGGTGTATAATTTTTTTCATGACTATATAATGGAAACACACTATGAGATGATTTGTATAGTATGTACATGGAAATATTTCATAAATGAATTGAAATGAACTGTACCTTATCATCAATAGTTGGGTTACAAAATGTATGTAATTTACTGTAATGAACCAAACTTACATGAAGATCATAATTGTACAGACACCACATATGGCATCTTCAAAAAGCCTCTTCTGTTAAGCTGAAAATGACAGTAGTACTTAGTACTTAGATACATTGGGTACATGTAAATTACCAAAATTGTGTAAGTCATGTATTATATGCACTGTACATGTGGCTGTTATACACTTAGCCAGTAGGATGAAGAAATTGTAGAAACAATATATTTTACACTTCTTGAAGCGTCACCTTAATTAATAATTCTTTTGTAGTCTTATTCAATGACACATAAACTTGTAGAGTCACTTTCATGGTTAATTCTTTGGTAGTCTTATTAGGTGACACATGAATTTGCAAAATTTATTTCATTTTGGTCTTCTTTAGCCTTCGATGTTTCATCATGGGATTGCAGGATCTCAAGTCCTTTATAGTGGGGGACTTCCATTACAGAAGAACCTAATAACAGAACAAGCTAGGCAAATCCTTAGTGATAATGAGTTAGAAACCTTGACTTATTACTTGGAGGAGTACTGCAAGGGTTTCATCAACATCAATGCTTTTGTTCTTGCCATGTTTGATCTGCTTGACACTCCAGCTAAGGCAGGTTTTTGAGTTTTCTTAGAAATGTATATGTAAATTATTGTTTGTTTTCAAAGTATCTAAATTTTAAATTGATTAGGAGGTGTAGTGGCTTCATATTGGATTTAATGGTCTTGTTTGAAGCCCTTATGTGCACCAGTGTCTTGTGATTTTGGCAACCTATTTTACTCCCACAGTGACCCTATCCAGTAGCAAACTTGTAGGGAAACCTAATGAAATGGTGGGGTTATACACCCAGGATGAATCAGTACTAATTTTGGAGGATTAGCAACACTCTATATGAAATAATGCTTGGTTGGGCTTTGGCAGCTGTCTGTGCAGTCATGTATGCAGACACTGTCTTTAATTACAGATTGTAGAAGATCGTTTTGAAAACTCGCATAACTCAAGTGTTTGGATATGCAGTGACCATGTTTCAATAAAAGTGAAAAATGTTTATGAAACCCTCCACATTTGTGGCATGTAGTTTTTCTTCCTTTTATGCATGCTATTTGTAAAATTTTTCCTTCTTTTGTGGCCCTTGTAGTGATCTAGGACACTGAAGTTGAGCAAGTAATATTTGATATCATGTATTGTATTTTGGTTTTAGTTTTACCGAAAATCAGTGTTTTTCAATCGGTAGATGTCATTGATGGGGGAAATACGAGGCTCTGTGGCACCAAGAGATATTGATCGATTTGATGACTTATTACTCAAGAAAGAAATTGAAATGATGAAGGTAAATAACACATATTTTCACAATATTAGTTATAAATTTTATAACTGAATTTTAAATATCCCTATAATTTAATCTATTTTATGTTCTTCATTTGCTTATGCTGTGGGATAACAACCTTTTCATTTTGATGAAATTAACAGAGTCGCCAGTTTTTTGGAAACCACATGTCAGATGACAGACACTCCATTCACTCATATGCAAGCAGTGTGTCAAGCTTCTCTGGAAAGGGATCATCGTCAAGCCGCAGCTCGTTCAAAGTAAGATTGGAATTGTTCATGTATTTACATTTTCCCTGAGTTTCCATAGAAAGAAAATATGCGGTGCATGTAAATACGTATGCAGTTTAAATTGGAAAATACGAGTCTCTTAGAGATATCGAGCCACTTGAACCCGTGAGGATTTCAAATGAATTAGCTTTGCCAAATGATAGCCATTAGAAATGCCATCGATATTATTCAATCAAGTGAGAAAAAGGTATTTTAAAACCCTGATTAGTAACGCATTGTCTTTTTAGTATCTTAGTAACACGGAAGCTTTTTTTTTTTCGTTTTTAGGGTTCCGTAAACGGTTCTAACTCACGTCCCATCACCCCTCCACAAGTGCCTGAAGTTTTGCCTCCAAATGTGAAAGTAAGCTCGCAAATAGCGAAGACTTTTTTTACATCGGAGATTTCCGTGCCTTACAATATTAATATTTGGTCGGCTGAATTGAAATACACCAATACGTTTGCCAAAAGTTAATGAATAATAAACTACAGTCGGGTAACCTCAAATATAAAGCTTCACAATTTGAAGTGAGACAGTCAAGAAAGTTATTTTTCTCTGACAGTCAAGCTATTTATTTTTTCACATGCTTCCGTTTTATTTTTCATTCATATATTTTTCATTCTTATTTATGTATTTATGTATTTATCTATATATTGAGTAAATTCCTCAATACTGGGATTGTTGACGTGTTACCCAACATCAAGCCAGTCAGTTTAAAAGGTTTTCTCTCAACTTGCCACTAAGTTAGTTTTAAATTGCAAGCCATTCCTTCCCAGTTTCGTATGATTAAACCGAAGAAATTGCAAACTTTAAGCTTTACTTACCCGCCCAAAATGGGTTGGACGTCATGATCATGACGAAGGACTGTTTGCACGGATCGGTCTTCTTGCAAAGTCAAATTGTAAGTTACGTATCATAACAGAAAATCAACAAAAATTAGAGCATTTTCACAATCCTTTCTTTGTGAACCTATACTTAACATATTTCCCTTACCTTGCCCGGATGAGAAAATGTTTCTTTCACAATAATTTAAGGAAACGTAACGAGATTTTTCTTTGGACAACACAACTTAAAACGTAGGTCATTTTTTTTTCCTCCACGCCTTTGACGCGGTGTTCCCAACTTGAAATGGGCAGAAATAGGCGGGAAAACAACTCGTCACTAGTCCTGCGCTTACATTTAACTTCGTCTGCAGATGTTCCATACAAGCTGTGGAATGGCTGGTGTAAACGACGGTGTTAACAGGCAGTTCTCTAGAAATTTATTTATTTTCTTCAGTTTTGCCTGACACTACGTCACAACTCCACTAAACGTTAGCACTGCAACACTCGATTTTATACAAGAGAAACTAAAGCCATAGTTAAATTTTATTCAAGACCAAGCTCTTACCACCAAGCACTAGTCTTTTTGAAGAACAGATCCTTGGAGTAGAAAGTTAATTTCAAACGCCTGAAATAATGCCCGGCATGGACGAATACCTAACCGGTTGGTTGCATGGAAAGGTGTTTAGCGTTACTTGTATATAGGTCTGACATTAATTTTCTTCTTTATTGTTCGGCAGATTGCCTATGACGAAACATCCTCAACTTACGATGTTTATGAGGCCACACTGACATTCAACGAAGACCAGGAAGAGGTTGGTTCAAATCCCCTCGTTTAACACATCAACAGATGTCTTGACAGCACGCACATAATAACTTTGCCATTATTAAGACAATAACAGATTCAAGATTCTTCATAGTCTTCAAGTCCAAAAGAACGGAAAATTCTAATAGACATATGCACTCATTTCGACGCTTTCCTTTTTAGACTTTTGACGATGGAGAGATGGAAGGACTTCCATCTTTACTGAACATCAATCCGATGTCACTGGATATTCCTTTCTCTGAGGTAATGACCATTTTTGGTATCCTTCTTAATGTTCATGTCGAGTCGCCATCGTTCAAAGGTTAGGCAGGAGCTACGTCCACGTCATAGTCCGCCATGTTGAAATTGTAATAACAAATTGATGTCAATGGACGATGAAATGACAGAAGTTTTTTACTTGCATGTAAATTTTACGAAGTGTTCTTCCATGAAATAGTTTAACCCTTCAACTCTCAGAAGTGTTTAACATGTAACTTCTCCCTAAAATATCCATTCATTATCCAACAAACAGTTAATAAGGACACACAAATTAAGCAAAAGATGTTATCTTGCTCTAACACAAAATTCACATAACTAATTAAGAGGGTAATGTGTAGTAGCAAGAGGGGAGAATTAACAATCAGATCTTGGCTGTCAAAGGGGTTAAAGCGTTTGCTCCCTTCAGTTAGGAGTAGCCTTAAAACGACTTCCATGTCGCATAAAGTTCAGCTTTCAGTTCTGTGGTTGCTTGTGTAGCAAATCAACAATGCTTTTAAAAGACTTGCCACAATCGTATAATGCCGTTTTAGTATTTACTATTTCGATAGCGAAAAGAAAGCTTATACTATCTCCTAATCTTCCTCTTTCTTAGAGTACTTCATTTCCTTCTCCTGACATTAATTTCTCCTCACCAATGGTGACCTCTTCGCCTACGAATGAGAGAGAACAAGAAATTCCAACGAGAACAAGAGGAGAAGCAACATCCAGTGAGAAAGTGGGTGACAACACTAGAAAAGTGAAAGAAGCTAAAGATTCCCCTCCCTATGAAGATATCAATCTTCATCCGGATGACTTCCCTGGGAAAAGAACATCGAAGCCACAGGATCACCCCAGCAGTCATGATTACATAAACGCGGATTTGCAACCCGCTGGGAAACCTCAGACACCTTCAAATCCTTTTATTTTTCCAAGTTCGTTCCAAGGCAACGGCACGAACACAGAGTTCAAGACATTTGAGTGTTCGCCATTGTGTACGTCGTCCACAATTGAAGCGACCATTTCAGAATCGACGTTGCAGAATCATATTAGTGACGCTAAAACCCAAGACAGCGACAAAGCGGATAAAACACAAAGTGTTGCCGCTGAAGTACCTGATGATGACCTGAGACCAGAAGTGGCGAAACTCCCTGGAAGGAAGAGGTTGGCATCCTGGGGTACACCCCCAGACGATGAGGGTGCACCGAACGATGAACCAAACAGAGATACACCGGCTAACGGACACTATACCGATCGCCTGACAGGCTCTGGACAGACGACTTTTGGTAACAACACGGTGGTTCAAACCAATGTGCACAATCAGCTTTCTGATGCCGGCATTGAGACGTCTTCACCGAGAGAAAGTCGTCAATGTTCTGTTTCCACGAACAGGAAGAGCTGGGACGGAGTGCGACATCCTGGCGAGTCTGGAGATAACCAAAAGGTGTCCATTCTGGAGAAACCGAAGAACAGTAAGGAACGAAGTTGCAGTGATAGCAACTTGATGGTAAGAAACATACGATTGGGAGAGTAAACTCAGCTTTCGGGGGCTAAATAAAACTTGAGACCAGCTAGAATTTTTTATGGAATTTGTTTATCTTTTTTTTTTCTTTAAATTGATTTGGTAAACAATGTTATGGATCGTTTAATGGTAGTCGACGGAGTAATGAACACCTGGTGGTCTATCGATTGCATTTTCAAGCCCAGTTTGAGCCTTTTTTTTTTTTTTGACAAAACTAAGCCCTGAAAACAAGTATCTCAAATTATATTTGGGTGTATAAAAATTTAATTGATGTTTTTAATGGACAGAAGAGGAAATGACAATTAAGGACAAAAATTCGTAAAATAAAGAAAACTGGCTTTCAAAACCAATGACGAATGGACTTAATGCTTGATTTTTGCTCTAAGAACCTCCCTAAGGAGCAGCAGAAGGTTATACAAGCAAAACATAGAGCAAGTCAAGAACTCTACGAGCTTCGCCAACACACCAAAACTAAGGTACAACTAACAAACTAACTCGGTTTTTTTAAAATTTTTTTTTAATAGGAAAGTGGGTGGAAAAGCTCTTGACAATTGACTAAAGTGCCAGTTATTGGGAGTTGATAGTAGCCTGCCCTTGTAAACTGCTTACTCATATCATGTTCTCTTGTCATTATTAGGGCATTACAAGCCAAAACGAGACTATTTCATCAGAAGTGAGCATGTCCCCAAAGTTGAATGGAGTTCGAGAGCCTGAGTTTGTCGTGGAAGTTGATAAATCAGTAGGGAGCTTGGGTCTGTCCTTGGAAGGCGGGTGCGATGCGGAAGGTGACGTGAAGATCAAGTCAGTCAAGGTGAGACTTCAGCTTTTAAGAACGAGAATGAACTGTCGATGAGCATGGGAGTTGTAGACCTTCATGGCTGAGCTAACTCTTGAATGTGCTAATGCTTAAGTTCAATGTAGTTTTTTTTAACTTTGATGATCAATTTAATTGTGGGATGAAATCGTAGCGTAAATTAAACGCTGTAAATCTATTCTGTTTGACAAAATGAATGGTTTTTACATCAATTGAATGTCGCAGAAGCAAAGAGCAAAGTAATAGCAATTAAGGTAAATGTCACAAGAGACCACGGGCAACTCAGAGTAAATAAACCGCAAGAAAAAGCGGGTGAAAGTTCGCGATGGAGTGACGTTTCGCTTTTGAATGGTTAGATAATGGATGTGATATTCTTACCCAGTGGCCAAGCAAAGTAAATCAAACACTTTTCGAGGTTTCCTTCTACATTATGTCGAAAATTGTCGCGTACCATCGTCGAGCAAGCACACCAAGTAGACAAGTTTCAGCGAGACTATTTCTTCTTCATATACTAGAAGCATTTGTGCTGCATGCGTGAAAATCAAATGTTTTTTTTTGTAACACATGATTCATTCACATTTTTTGAAACTTGATGTCAGATGTCCACATTCCCATTTCGACTCAACGAGGGTTCAAATTTTGGTAGAGTTAATTCATTGCATGCTTTCGTTGCAGCCCATCAGGAAAATGTGGAAACCGCTCTTTGCTGGAAATTTAACTACGTCATCTTAATGTTTTCAATCTGGTCAACCAACAATTCTTGTTAGTAGCTCATTCTCGCAATGCATTGACAGCGTACCAATTAGCAAGGCTGTCGAGATGTTGTTCAATAGAAACGAGTTTTCAAAATTGGCTTGGTTTATTTGTACTGATATGTAACGCACTACGTGATAGAAACTGTTGCGTGACAATAATAGAAAGAGTTATCAATTGAAGTCCCGTAAACTCATGAAACTGCCCTGGAACGCCACAATTCATTTGCTTAATTAAAGCTTCCACCTCTCTCTCTCCTTCTGGTCACTTCTATCGATCATTGGTTAATTTCATGAATAGTGCTGTTACTAAGGCCATCTGGCCAGCACGCATGCTTTCATTGGCCATGCGGGTCAAAGTCGATCTCGCGGGCTTCGCCGATTGTGCCGCAACGCTGATGAGAGTGTGCTCCTTGCTCTCTTCCTGATAATTACGCACAATGCGTTTGTCGGGTATCCTTATCTAACAAATATTTTGCATTTGCCCTGCAAATTGGCAAGGCATTTACAATACTGAGACATACGATTTACCTTGTTTTGGCATTACTGGGCACAATATTTGCACTTTCTTGAAAATGTTTTGGAACTTCATGATTACTGTATGGGCTCTTCGTTGTCACTTTTTTCTCCGAATTTCAATTGAAAATTTTAATTTTTTTTTTGTTTTTAGGAGGGTAATTTCGCAGCATGGAAATCTGGAGGGTTAAAACCGGGTCAAGTTCTTCTCCAAGTGGACGACACGCCGATACGAGGAATGACCAGCGGCGTGGCAGTACTCACCTTAAGAAAGGCTTATTCGAACCCAGACTCGGCCGTACTCAAACTTCTTGTTCGAGATATTTAGTGCAGTCACTCACTGATATAAACGTTTTCTGAATTTTTGTGTGAATTATTTGTTACTGTACAGCTAAGCTTAATGAAAAAAATCAGCAAGTGAAGCTTACAAAGACGACTTGTATTTATCGAAATTTATAAAGTGTTTTAATGATGCATAACGTTTTCCAATCGCAAAATGTACACCCCAGTATTGTTCACACCCTTTAACTTAAACACACCTTAGTTAAAGGAATTCTAATAAATTTTATCAATGGCTTGGCTTATTTCCTTAGAGTTATACAATCAAGTTTTCCAGTCTTGTTCATTAAGGTTGCAAGTTCTAGAAAATCTCCCAAGGGGCGAAGTGCGCCTTCAGGTCGTTTATCATTTAAGCCGCAATAATGTACTTGAAAAATTTACGCGTTTCTGATTGGCTGAAAACGAGTGCATTCTCATAAAACACGAGTGCAAGGTTTGAACACGAGCGCAAATTACGAATAACGCGCGCACACTTTCAAAATTTCGCCTTTCTTGGCTTCTGTGATGTTTTTTCATGTACATTATTAACTTGTAAATTTTTCAAAGACTTTCCGTACGGGCTCGAGCAATTTTGTTGTCTTTATAAGATTTATTCGCGCTTCTTGAGACCAAATTGCACTCGAAATCATGTTATTGCCTATACCAAATTGTGACAGTTTGATACTGAAATTGTTCTGTCGATATCAAATTCACGAAAGGGACGGTTAAAAAAAAAAGAACTCGTTGCCTGAGGTTAGGGAAGAGGATTAAGATTTAGAGGATTAAGTAAACCCATATTTGATGGAAACGAGTGCCCTCGACTCGTTGTGAAACGTGAGCGAGTCTTGAATCCTACGCGGAATTGCGTATCTGAGTGTGGATTTCCTTAGCTGATAAATGTAGTAATTTTTGTAACCTCAAGTCAGATTGGTATATAATAGATAGATCGTAGAACGGAACATTTAATACTGCATTGTCGATAATGAAGTCACTATCACTGAACCAGCGTATGCGGAGTTCTCAGTAACTTAGTGGGAAATTCTGCGAAACCCACGCGCAGAAAGCGCGACCACTGCAATAAAACTAAGAATAACCTTTCAAGTAAAAGTTATCCAGATTTGTCTCGCGAAATCAATGTTAGTAGTGTTTTTGAGCAAGTGTTAGTACTTTACGTGGTCAGTTATAGCATAAATGGCGTTTTTAAGGTCCTTTATCTGTGGAACCTGTATTAAGTGGTCACTCCGCCACTCCCCGAGATTGACCGCTTAGTACAGGTGCGACTGTAGCTATTTCCGATTTAGCATGTACCCATATCCAGCCTTTACCAGCCTCTTGGTGAGCGAATAAGACAGATAATTAGACATGTGAGGGCGGGCGCAAAAGATCGCAGTGGCTGTCGTTCGATCCTTGCTTTTTAGTCTTCTTCAACACCAGCCTGGGAGAGGGGGGGGTGTTTAGAGGATTTTAGGTGGAGTCATATGGTTTCATAGGGAACGGAGAGGGGGATCGGACGCGACAAAAATCCTCCAACCTCCCCCCCCCCCCCCAACGATGATAATGACCAGTCCCTCAATCATCTCGTTATGTAAGAGCCATAAAACCGTAAATAATTGGTATCCCCCTTGATTAAGGTACTTCGTTCCTTTAAAGGACAGGAAAAGTAGGAAATAATTCTCGCAGCGGTGTTTCCTCAATTACGTGCAAGCTGAATTCCAGTATTGCAGTAGTGAATTTTTTACGGTTACGGTTTTTAAGCATTGCCTATTAAGGACCTTAAGATCCGAGGACGGCGGATGTCTACGACGGCTATCATGACCGAGGGGGGACTGGGAAGAGGTTGCCGTCGTAAGGCGCGAAAAATCCTTAAGAGACCAAGTGAGTCGAAGGCCCGGGCGGCATTGTTTACATATTTTCGATTTTTATCACAAAGTACTTCAGTCATGGCTTCCTTTAGAGAGATTCGTAGCATTCTTCTGCAAAGTTTTGATGATGGCGATATATCAGAGGACGAGTTCCTTATTCTTTATGACGTTAACACATCCAAAAACCCCGATTTTCCAAATGAAAATTATGGGAAATTTGACCTTAAAGATGTGGATGACAGTGCGTGTTTATCCGAGTTTCGTTTCCGTAAGAGTGACCAGCATCAAATCCTGATGTTGCTTTTTGGACTGCTCCTCCTTCTTACTTTCAGCCTCTGGCCGCTGCTTCCGTAGCTGCATTTCTTCCATTTTCCATTTCTGCATGAGGTCGTTCTTTTCGCGCAAATATGCCACTGTGTCACTACCACTTCTTCGACGTTTTGCTCTTGCTGCTGTTTCATTCTCTACCTCATCTTTCCTTTGTCTTTTCTGTGTCCCGCCAAGGTTCTCTAGAGCTCTGTATCTCATTTCCGCTGCTTTGGCACTATCGACTTTCTTTTTGTCATTTTGCGCTGTTTCTTCAACCACAACTTCTTTTTCTACTATCTCCTCAAGTGCTTTTTCAACGTCACTCAAATCTGTATCTATTCCACTTGCCTTTTTTGATCTCGCATCTTTGCTATAAATTTGTCGCTCAAAAGCGTATATCGTTCTCTGACAGATCGCTTCGTCACTCTGAACTGAGGATGTTGAAGGCTGTTCAGATTGTTCGCTATTTTATCCCAAATTTGGCCCCTTGCAATGCTTCCTTTCTTTGCCTTGAATGGTTCAAGAACGAGAATCTTCTGACAAATGGTATTGTTATGTTGTTCAGTGCACTCCGTGTTGGTTCTAAAGATAAAAATAAAATGTTAACGCTTATTTTCTTTTTGTTTGTGTTGCACGTTGTTTGTTTGTTTGGTTTTTTTTTTTTACTGCAAGCAGAACCCTTTTTGTTCACCAAATATGCAAGACACTAATAAACAGACTAACAAACTAATTCGTGTTGAGTTTCACGAAATTCATTGTTAAAAACGTGAAAAAAAGAGAATAAGAAAACTTACTGAGCAATCTTCTTGGCACTCGTGTCGGCTGCAGCCATGACTTGTTTAGTGGAGAAGAAAAAAAACATGTTTTTTCTCGAAAATCAGGTCCCAGAAGAGTAGGCAAACGAATTAAAAATATTATTGACTCCATAATATTCGAATATTCGCAGAATATTCGAAAATTGTAAAAATAGTTTATAAAAACACTGTAATCAACTCACGTTTTGTACGTAACGGCAAACTAGTTGTTTTGACGTCGCAGACAACACTTCAGCTACGGCAGGAATTTACGGGGAACGGCTACCGGTAGTAGGTAAACACGCAAACATTCGCCCGCCGTCGTAGACATCCGCTGTCCTCGGATCTTAAGGTCCCTGTTGTCTCGACTTAGGACAAAACCACCTGCATCAGTCCGACTTTTACCCAAGGGAGGGATTTTAACCAATAGAATAGGAATTGGCGAGATTAGATTAATTTCAGCCCTTGTGTCTCCATGGATCTGTAGACTAAGAGGGTTGTCATGGTATCCCCTTGTCGGGTCAAAAGCCATATTCCTTTACTCTCCTGCATTTTACGCAAAATTTTATTTTACTTCATTTTATTTCCTTCAAAACCACCCGACAAACCCCTGCCGACGGGTGCCTGCCTAACAGAAGCCTTGTGACAACAGTAGTCACACGCACCCAAGAGAGCGCCGACCCAAGGATTCTTCCACACACGAATACGACTCACTATCGTGCACCTGAAGTTAAAGTGCCCTTACAGTTGTAGATAAGCTAACTTCACTGACTACAGATCCTGGAAAATAGATTTCCATGAGACCCATAAAGCTCGCTGAGATAGAGGGTAAGTAGCATAAAAAGGCTGGAGATATTTTTCTAACGCTAAGAATAAACTGGTTTAAAGCTTAAAAAATAATAAGCCGTGAATGTTTCATTGACTCTCTAAACATGCAGGCTTGAAATGCGTTCTTATGTGTATATACATTTTTCGCTTTTATGTTATCAAAACAGTTGTACACACTGATATATTTACAAAACAGTTTCCTTTTCTGTTACCAGCAGGACAACTGGTCAAGAATCTCCTTAACCAATTAGGATTTTGCTTCGCGAGAATTTGACCCTCCTCGCGCAAATGAATATTAGTAAAATGAATACTCCAACAGCCTCGATTCCACTTGCAAACAAGAAAGCTATGGGATATGACCTGGTCTTGTCAGCCACCAAACCTGAAAATATGATATAAAGAAGAAACCAATAGTGCAGTGTTAAGTCAAGGCTAAGGCAATAAGTATTAGCTTTACTTAGCCCATCTATTTTTCCGCGACTACAGCAAAGCTTTTTCTGTCCCTATACTGTTCTGAAACGAGTGAGAAGTGGTTACGGGGAGAGGATAGAATTCTAATGAACCTGTAATCATACCTGTTGACGAAGCCTCTATTCTATAAGTGAAAAGACGAGTTTGTCAGTAACGCTAGCGAAGTAGACATGGGTGAGGAGCTGTTTTCCCATTCTAGTCCATGTAACCCTTGCCCACGAAGATTTCAGTACCGTCGTCCAGTTTTCTCATCGAAAAAAAAGAAGGCAAAACATTAATTTACGAAGGACTTTGTTTTTCCCACGATCAGATTTCATAAAAACGACAAATTCTTTTACATTTTAATTCGTTCCTAATAATTCAATCACTATTCTGCGTGGACATTCTTTCATTTACTCTATCTTTCCTTCCATCTTAATTATTATTTTTTTACTCTTTTCTTATCCATTTTCGTTTTTGTAAGAATATTTTTCACAAACCTCCGATGGGTGCACCAAACAAAATTGCCGAAGTAAGGCACAATTGGTAAAAGCCAAAGCCCTGCGCTCTTTGTTTCTGTGTGAGAACTTGCAAACAAGAAAGATTTACTCCAATAGTTATCAAACCATCAACGAGGCCATATGAAATAGAAAAAAAGAGAAGCCACGTCCAGTTGATTGCCAAGGGCAGCAAAACAGAAGTCACTATTGCGCCGCACATACCGAATGCAAGTACCACACTTTGCGAACCGATGACGTCACACAGCTTAGAGCCCAGTATTCTTGTAAGTAGAGATGTGATTCCAATGCAGGAATAAAGCCAAGCCACTAAATCAGTGTCGACACCGAGTTCCTCAGAGTACCGAGCCTAGAAAATACGACACAGTTTAGTAACCATATGTGTAAAATTATCTACAACCTTGAGGTTAATATTTCTCCCAGTCTTTCTTTCCAAGATTTCTCATCCCTGAAAGTATAACTTAATCAATGAATTGCTTCTATTTTTCTTTCCTGAGTCTTTGTTTCCTTTTTTGGGTTGTTTACTTTTTTTTTCGGTTAAGTTATTTTATTTTTTTTTATTCCTGTTTTACTCCAGTGACGAGACGCCTCAATTAAAGGGGACACTTGTGCTCTACAGATGCTTATTTGGTCCCGACTGAAAATATCCTCACTGATCTTGCCTATAGTTGGGACAGGTGTCCCTTGAAAGCTAAATATATCTGAAGCCATTATTGGGAATTTTAGTATTAAGCTCCCGTATGTATAACATAAAAATCAGCACTAAGTTACTTACTAAATGGACGATGGGGATAGTATGGCCAATAAAGACGAAAAAGCTTGAAATGGCAAGTACTACAAACGTGATATTTCTCCACATAGACAGATCCAGAATTTTACTTGTTTCCTTCGTTTTGGATGGTTTAGTTTCTTCAACACTTTCTCCGGCTTCTTCACAGGCCACATTGGGGTCCAGCGTCCAACCCATGACGAAAACTACCAAAGCGCAACCGCTCATGCCTCTGAAAGCGCCCCTCCAACCATATGCATCTATGAGTGCCTGACATACGGGGCTCATAACAACTAATGAAGCCCCCGTACTCATTGTTATTAAGCCTGTGGCAAGCGAACGATGTTTGATGAAACATCGTGGGACAATCTCGAAGATTGAGATGTAAATAAGGCTTGAACCAAATCCAAATATTCCTCCGTAGGTGAGAAGCATAAGATAAAGATTGGGGACTAGCGACGTCAATAAGAGTCCGGTTGCGCTCATCAGTGATCCACATACAACCACTGCACGTGCGCCAAAACGGTCTGTCAGTCTTCCAGCGATAGGACCAAAGAGACCAGAGGATGCCATGGCAAAAGAACCCATCCATGCTGAAGGACGAAAGAGATATCTTTGAAAATATTCGTATACTACCACATTCTACATCAATCTGACTTAATACTTTGCGTTACTGAACTTGAATCTTGAAGTTTCGTCGCAGGGAGATCTGAAAGACCTTTACACCGTTTGTTGATTTACTGCTTTTTCGATGGTTAACAATAAAAAAATTCATACATTCCTACTCACCAGTATCAGATTTTCCTTCTTTAAAGTCATCAAGAAGAAAAGGAAATATTACTCCAAAACAATAGGCGCATCCTAAAACTATGATATTGGAAGCTGCTCCGACTGCACACACAACCCAAGCCCACTTTGTATCCGGCTGACGAAGTTTTCCCTCTTTGAACGTTTGGGTTTCATCGCCATTCTCGATTGATTGGGACACTGCCTTATTTTCCATTGTAATATCAACAGAGATCATTGACATTAAACAAGCGTCAAGCAAGGTGACAGGCTTAACTGAAAAGAGTACGGAGAAGTTCAGTAAAAACTGAGAAATTTTCTCACTTTGTTCTCATGCAAAGAATTAAGGCCGTCCTTTGATATGTCACGCAACACTTGACTTAACAGGAAGCATTACGTGACATTAAAGAAAATGGCCCAAAAGGAGAATTCTTACTCTCGTTTCAGCTCTGTGGTAGGAAGATGAGAGATCCTGGGAACGAGGGTGTGTGACCCTGATTAACTTTTACAGCTACATCTTCTAAAATGTTTTACAGGTGCTACCTATCCTGAGGGTAATATTTTCAGATTAAGAACCAAAGATTTTATCCGAGTTTACGATCTAATCTGCGATTCAGTCGACTTACAAGAGAAGCCTCCGAACAAACCGACAACGCTGGCACCGATCGGACGAATCTCCTAATCTACGACTAAGTTTAGTAGAGGAATCCTTCTCCAAAATTGGCTACATAAAATTTATCCACAGCCACTTTACACATGCTTTAGAACGAGGCATTAATGCATACAAATTTACACAAACTTTCGTGGCATACGCGTTACATCGAGGAATATTCACAACTTCCGAAGCATGGAAAGCATTCTATAATTGGAGATTCGAAGGGATTGCATATCAAAATACTTTTATAGCTATTTGCGATTCAGCATTTACCAACATGCAACAGACCGTGACTGACTTTCTTTTTATTTTACTAAATAATTTTGTCACATGTGTTTCCAGGAGCCTGGCGCACTACCTTAAATTGGTATCATACTTTACTGTTATATGTTATGCTCTTGACATGTTTGAGGGACATTAAATCATGAAATAATTCTCGCAGCGATGTTTCCCGACTTCTGTACAAGTTGAAATAATAGGCTTTATTTTGCAACGTGAGGAACATTTTTTGCGCCGATCATGGTATTGCTGTCCAGCCCCCTCTCTTGTCCATTCCCGAAGCTCATATGAAGCATTTCAAAGCCATAATTTTCCGGCTTCAGTTCGAGACGTTCATCTCCTGTTCACTCATAAAACATTACAACTGAAGGCAAAAAAAGTCATAAAAAGGTTTGAAATTATTTGAGGGGATTTCGGCCAGGATAAGTTGATTACGTAATGTTTTCAAAAATGATTTGTCTGGGTTTTCGGCTAGGACAGGTTGATTACGTAATGTTTTTAAAGTAAGACCGGATGTACAACCCTGATGTACAACCCAACTGGAGTACCTGCTTTTCGAAGCTGATCTTGAGATGAAACCTTTCTTGTATACGTACCTCGTGCAAAACTGGGGTGGTTAGATTTTTTGGAACCTCTTTCAAGCAGACTCCCTCGAGAACTTACTCGCGTGGTGTTCAGTCAAAAGAACAGGGTGCTGCTTATGGTTTGTAAACATTATGTATTGTTTAGGCTTGGGACAGAACTCATCTGCATCGCAAATGCAGTCCACCTTTTATTCAACAAATATTTTAAACAATGTAAAGGGAATTAGCGAGATTTCAGGCTTAGTTTGGGTATCCCAGGTTTGCCTGCAGACGGAGGGGTTGTTACGTAAGTATCACTAACTGGTACACAACATTTTCCCTAGTGTACTAGCTCATTGCTTACATTACCATCTTCTCGGGCGGCATAAAATGACACCAAAACTCTAACGTCTTTTACCGTTTCAGCCGTTTGGGTCGACATTCTTTCAGATCTTTCATTCGATGGATTCGAACACTTTCTGGTCTTTCTGGATACGATCTGAAGCGCTACCACGACCAGGCGGTATACAATAATAACACTAAAGGTCATGGTCCATGTGCAATTGTTAACTATATCAACTTATGCCTATTGTGTTACCATTGTTTGGACCTACTACGAAGATCAAAGACATCAAAGGTCAAGCAAAGATCAGCAAAGGACGGAAAAGACCAGAAAACAGTGTCACGGCTGCCAAGGTTTATTGATCTTTGTTGAGAACTCTGCAATACCTTACGTTCAAATCCCGTACGGCCCAGAACTTTTTTCAGGCCTTATTTTCACAACTAGTTCACCAGTATTCATAACTGCGAGGATCGCTTCTATATTTGTTTCTTCAAAGCAGTGCACACACACGATTTTCATATATTTACAGTCATGTATCTTCAGTTCTGATCTATACAAAGTGCAAAGTTGAATTTAAATGTATAACAAAATGCTAATTGGACAAACAAACAATAGAAACAGAACAATGAATGCAATTACAAGGAAAGTTTCAAATTAACATGATAAAGTTGATGATCAAGTAGATCTTGTTTTAGTGTTAATGAACCAGGATAATACAATAGGCCAATAAGGAACATGATTAGGTGCATATATTACGTAAGGCATGTTACGTACTACATGTCCCAAAGCGGTACTTTAAATAGCCAAGTTGCATACATGTTTGTCAATTGTAGCTTTAAGATTTGGTCGTGAATATTAAAGTTTTGGTCAGCCGCTTTAAATCCACAGTGTAGTGATGTTATTCCGCGCTTGGATACAACAGATCTCTTGTTAAATCTAGCTGCTGGAGGTGTGTCGCCTTTTTCAATGCAAACATCATGCAAAACTACACTCGCAAGAGTTGTTATCTTCACTCGAGTCGGTCCACCCTCATTCATCCTTAAAAGAACACTCCACCGTCCTTTCAGTTGTCCATAGGTGCCTTCTGTGACCATCCTAGTTCGACTTAACCAGTAATTGAAGTATCTGTGTTTCTCTGTTAATACTGCATTTCTGTGGGGTTTTAGGAGCTACGGCTGGAACGGAAAAGCGGAATCCCCGAGATAAGTGGACGCACAATCACATCAGCTATCTTAAGTCCAATATCTGGGAGAAAATTCTGTTCTTTTAACTTTTCCCAGATATCGTAGCCTGAAGATGATGGCATCATGAGAGTTAGCCGGAAAGCCGCAGCTGCCCCAAAAAAACCTATATCTTAAATCTACCATGGCCATCAACACCACTGAATAACAGTTTTTAAAATTATGGTATTCTTTACACGAGGCGGCTCCTCCTGGTGGGCATTTAATCAGAATGTGGCAACCATCAATTGCAATCCTACAGAAAGGAAACTGCCACCTGTCATTCATTTCCTTCATCTAATCTTTAAGTCCTGCTCGATAGGTGGCATGTGCTTTATAACACATTTTTGTCAAATGCAATCAACGATTAGTTCACAAACCTGAGTCACAATCTCGCGTACAGTTGAAATACCCAGTCCAACCATTTTCGCTCTAGTGTAATGATAGTCCAGACTATCGTCTGGAAAGAGGGGACGTCTGCCATTCAGGGGATATTGGGTCTTCATTTTTTTATTGTCTGGCGTTCCAAGTCATTTCAGATTCGACTCAGAATGAAATTAAAAGAATCCTTCGAAATCCTGAAATTTTTCTTAAATCTTTCATGGATATACATGTTCCATACTATCTCCCGATAGGTTTTGTTTCTCGCCAAATGTCGGCAAGGTCGTTGATAAACTCTATCGGTAGCCATAGATTGCTTACGTGTGAGCAATAAAAGCTCAACCGAAGGAAATAAAAGAATCATCCGCTTCCTTCGTAATGCAACATACATGAGGGCACTTTCTGAAGACATCCTTATGCGCTGGTTTCCCTGAAAAAGCGTCCTAATGAAAGCTATCCTTTCTTTCAACCTACCATCTTGAAAGTTGAATTTTGGCGCGAAAATTATTATCACCCCCAGTCCCTTGCGTATGTGCTATTAGGTGCAACACACGATACGCCAATGTCACCAATGTCGCTCCACAGTCGAGCCTGATTAAATTAGGTTCGGCGCATGAGTGGAGCGGCTTTTGAACAAGGCCTTAGTCTTGTAAACCACCGTCACGCGGCTTGTTAAATAAAAAAATCACGCATCACATTGAGATGTCCGGTCCCGCGTCACGCGGATATTAATTTGGGTTCAATCACGTGTCACCCTGCAAATTTTGGGTCTAAGGCCTCATCCGTATAAATGAAACACATACTCCTCGAAACATTTTCGGCTGCAGAAGGAATGCAACTCAATTAATCTTCTGTTGTAGCGTAGTTGGTTTATCAGCCCTTTTTGTTGGAAGCACCTTGTTTCTTTTATGTTACCCAAATTTTATTTTAATTTCATTAAATTCAACCACCAATTAATTTCTGTAGAAAGACTAAATGAAAATTGTAGCTACAGAATTGGTTGTAAACAAAAATAATTTTGAATGATTTCCTAAAGATTACGTTCATAGTGAGTACACTGAACACGCACAAGTGTAATGGAAATAGTTGTACGTATTAATATAATTATAAGACAGTTTCCTTTTCTATCACTAGCAGCACAGTTGAAGATGAGTTCTCTGAGTCAGTCTGGATTTTCGTCTGCGAGAATTCGACTCTCCTCACACAAATAAATATAAGCAAAATCAAGACTCCTACAGCCTCGATTCCACCTGCACACAAGAAAGCAGTAGGATACGAGTTGGTCTTGTCAGCCACTAAACCTGGAAATACAATCAAGAGAATAAATAGTCTATTAAGAACATTTAGAATCGGTCGTTTTAATGTTCCTGAGGGGCTTATTTCTGTGTGCATTTGAAAACAAACTAAAGCAGACGTTTTCAAAAACAACAAGATTTAGAACTGCAATACCTTCGTTCGCTCGTTTGTACCTTCGTTCGCTCGTTTTAACTTCGTTCGCTCGTTTGTTCGTCGGTTCATAAGTTCGTTTGTTTGTGAATTCGTTCCTTCATTCATTTCTTTCTTTCTTCATTCATTCTTTCAGTTAACGTCATTTCCTTCTTTTCTTTATTTTTCTCTTCTTTATTTCATTCATTTTTTTCATTCTCAGATTTTTTGCCCTAACAACTTACACATTCGAATTTTTTAGACTTACCTCCAATTGGTGCACCAAACAAAAGCGCCGTACAAACACACAATTGATAAAAGCCAAATCCCTGAGCTTTCTGTCTCTGAGTCAGAATTTGTAAGGATGAAAAAACTGCTCCAACGGCTATCAGACCATCAGCAAGGCCATAGACTATAGAAAAACAAAGTAGCCACGTCCAGTTAGTAGCTAGGGGTAACAAAACAGAATCAGCCACCGCACCAACTGTTCCAAATACGAGCAGCACTCTATGAGGGCCGATGATGTCACAAAGCTTGGATCCCAGTATTCTGGTTAGAAGAGATGAGAGTCCAATGCAGGAGTAAAGCCATGTCATTAAATTTTTGGTGACACCGAGATCCTCACTGTACCTGCCCTAAGAAATTCAAAGAAATAGTTAAGCAGTCGTTAGGTGGTGGTGTAAGACTATTTTTTCTAGATAATTTCCCTGGCTTAACAGCAATGGAATCTTTCTACCGGGGCAATCAAATTATGCAGGCTCATACTGTGTCATTAGGCCTGTCCCGATTGTGTCCGGCAACTTTTAGCTCTTGGAGCAATTTTTGCGGTTCTAGTAACTTCGAGCAATTTTTGCCTTTCTAAATAATTCTTGGGTAAATTATTGCTTTAAAGGGCATATCAAGCTTGAAAAAGTCAACAATTTCATGAAAAACTAACCGATAACCTGTCACTTGTCGACGTTTCGCAAGCCTTTTGCGATCTGTATCTAATATCATAACTGATATTTGGCTAAATTGACGTTCGACAAGACGTCAAGTGAACCTTTTGATTTGTTCCTTTAGTATTAAGTATCTTTAAATTTCTCCCATATTTGCGAGCGACTCTTTAATGGAAAATTTCAAGCTATTTTTCTTCACAGATGTTTAGCAATTATTGTGTACAACCAAAAAATTTCAACTGTACGCGAGGTTGTGACTAATTAAAGTTTATATAAAAATATCAAGAAATTTAGGTAGCAACTTTTTAAATTCAGGTAACAACTTTTTGGATTTTTGACAATTTTTCAGCGAGTTTTTGGCATTCAAGTGAGCAACTTTCCAGCATTTTACGAGTACAATCGGTACAGGCCTAACGTCATTAAAGAAGATCCATAGTTCGGACTGATTTTGTGTTAGAGATACTGTTAAACGATAAAAATACAACTATGTTTGTTCAGAACAGAAACGAGATTGGTAATATAAAAATCATAACTAACCTATTGACAGAATATTATTCACATCTGAAGGGGTATCTTAAGAGAAAATTGCCTTAGAAGACCGTTACATAGCAACATCATGATTACAAAAGTTGGAGAAGAGGGGGCGTTCACAAGTACCGCCCTCAAGTTGCTACGTGCTAGTCATAATAACTATCTAATTGCGAAACATGAAGGGTATTACATGTTTTACACCTTTAAGAACGAGAGGTGTCGAACGTGACCTTTTACCAGAGAGATTCACTCTTCCTGGATTAACAAATTAACTTAATTAATAACATAGCTTTCCCAAGACACTATCACGAGTTCTAATTACCGTAGAAACTGAACAACTGTTACCATGTCAACTTCGCAATCATAACGAGGAAAACGTGACCAAACTCTACCTTTAAGATAAGACTCCCAAAAGGAATAAGAAGTAATCAACCTGCCTTTTTATAATATTTTTGCAGGAATGGTTTAAAATAATATGATATTTCCATTCCTTTCCCCAACACCAAAATAAGGAAACTCTTACGATATTTCAGATTAAATATAGTTGTATTTTTATCGTTTAACAATACGCATTTACCCTCATCAATGGAACACCTGTTTTCGAGAAACACTAATTTTGGTTCCGAAGGAATCCCATTAACGTTTCCACAACCTCGTTGCCAGCCCTTTTCCCCCTTGTTTGACTGCCCTCAAGCGAGGGAAAAAAGAGCCTGGAGACGAAGTTGACGTCTTCACGGTGTTGCTATGTGTCCAGAGCTCTGAAGCAAGCAAGCACTGCTAAAGCGCAAATGAAAAAAAGTTTAGGCCTGTCTCGGCCCCCTATTGCAGCTACCGAACGATTTCGATAAAACAAGAATAATCTGTGAACTACTTACGAAATGTACGGTAGGGATGGTATGGCCGATAAAGACAAAAAAACTCGTGACACAAAGCACTACAAATGTAACATTTCCCCACATCGAAAAATCCAGAATTCTACATGTTTGCCGCGATTTGAATGGTTGAGTTTCCTCGACTGCTACTTCGGCTTCTTCATTGGCAACGTTGGGATCCAGAGTCCAAGCAATAAAAAAAATTATGGAAACAAAACAACCCATGCCTCTAAATGCACCCCTCCAACCGAAGAGATCAACAAGTGCTTGACACACAGGACTCATGACAACTAATGAAGCCCCCGTACTCATTGTTATTAGGCCTGTAGCTAGCGATCGATGTTTGATGAAATATCGAGGGACGATCTCGAAGATTGAGATGTAAATAAGGCTTGAACCAAATCCAGACATTCCACCGTACGTAAGAAGCATTAGATAAAGATTGGGAACTAGTGAGGTCAGCATGAGTCCAGCTGCGCTCATAAGTGATCCACAAATAACCACTACACGTGCGCCAAAACAATCTGTCAGTCTTCCAGCAACAGGACCGAAGAGGCCAGTGGCTGCAATGGCTAATGATCCTACCCATGCTGAAATAAGATATGTTTTATGCACTGGACCACCACGTGAAATGCACGAGGGAAGAATTTAACTTTTCATAATCAGGCTGCCTTTGTCAATTCATTCCCTCGGCCACAAACAAGCAAGTTTTGGCTTTTTATCTTCTTGGGAAATTTGTGAATGCTCTCAAGAGGGCCTCGTTGCATGGGGATGGTTCATGGACGGGGATGGTTAATTTTTTTCCATGGTGAAAAGGAAAAATGTTTACGGTTAACTCTCTTTTACGACTAACGGTTAAAATTTTTCGTTTGCAGTTTTACAGCTAACGGTCAACCTTACTGAGACCCTCTCAAAAAATTGATATGCTTACTTAACAATTTTTTTTCTGCGTTTGGCTTATCAAACGCCTGAATTACATCAATTACCGTAAAAAAAAATCCACCCCTCTGTGAGTTTGAAGATTTCAACCTTTAGGAGGGGATTTCAGGGCAAACTCAGGAGGACCCAAAAGGCAGGTCACCACACCTTAATGAATGTTGTATAGAGCGTATGTTTCTTCCGATAAAAACTTACAATATTTAAACCTTTTAAGTACATGACGGTCCAGGAAGGGGGGGGGGGGAGAGAAGAGGAGCTCATCAGTAACTCGAAGCTCCGACGGAGGAGCCTATCAAAGTGCATGTGGAGAGCGCATGAGAGACCCAGTTCTCACCGGAGCGTTTTATGGTTTTATACTCAGTCCTAAACTCGAAGCGCATCAACTATGTATCCACCCTTCGCGGTTCCCAATTTTAACCATAAACTCAGGATTCAATATCAGCCTTATTGAGCCCAATGAGCTTCGTTCATAAGGAACAGCTTTCTCCTAGCTCACTGTATCAAATAGGGCCTCTTTTTTCAATTTTAGTGGTTCACCCTTCGCTAGGTCGTGGCGTGGGGGAAGGGGGGGGGGCCTCCAGCTCCGGGCGCTTTTTCCCTTTGTACGACTCAGTCAATGTGTATCAGAGAAAAAGTGCTTATGAAAGCTGATCCTATACTACTCACCGGTATTTGATTTTCCTTCGTTAAACTCGTCGAGGAGAAAAGGAAATATAATACCAAAGCAGTACGAACACCCTAAAACGATGATCAAAGAAACCACTCCAACTACACACACAATCCAAGACCAGTATGTATCTGGTTGACGTGATTTTCTTTCATTCTCCGTCCTTGTTTCTTTCACAGTCTCTTTGACACGAAAGCCGGAGACTGAGGCTTCTACTTTCATTTGTATAGTATCCGTCTGGAAGCTGTGTATGAAATAAATGTTTCCATTTAATTGATTGAGCGTGTATTGAAAGGAGAATTAATTAATATCAATTGCAGACTATGTGCTGTAATAATTTAGGTTCAATCCAGGTGATTCAATTCGTCCATGTTCGTTCTCTAGTAATCATTGAGAATGCAGGTGCGCCTTAAGTATCCCAATATTACTCAGAAATGTCTTTTCAACCGGTTCGAACACCTTTGGTAAATTCAAGAACACCTACAGCCCCTTTAAGCAGATTGGGGACAAGGTGGAAGAACAAAAAAGGCCACGTACGAATGTGTTACTTTTCCCCAGTCTTACTCTGTTACTCATCACGTCCGTAATTAGAGACGCGCGTGGACACGTCTATGAACTGAAATGTACTAAACTTGATTTACAGCATTATCCAAGTTAATAATCCGGCATCGATTCGGTAATAATTAATATCACAGCTTAGTTAAAGCTTGGCAACGGCAACCGCAGCATTGTGAAAACGAAACTTGAAATATAGTTTATTTTATTTATGTTTTTAGAGGTGCTTGTGTCAATAGGCGCGGCGTCTATCTTCGCGTTTTTACCAGTTGGCGAGTGCTTTTGTCGAAGTTACAAATCGACGTTTTAACGTTGGAACTCGCGTAGTCAGCTGGAGAGCCCAGGACACACTTGCTGCCGAATCTTTTTTGAAACAATCCTAACTGCCTTAAATGAGGCGGAGAAATCTCTTAAGGCTAAAAAGTTAACACGATAAAGAATTCCCAACCCTGTTGAGTTAATCACATAGCTATTGGAGGTATTGATGGCAAAAATCATTGAGACGCATGCCTTGGTAGTGCTGTTTTAAGTTTAAACCACCAACGGCTTTTACTTAATTTCCAAATGATAATTCTGTTTAATGTACCTGTTTAAGGGTGTTCCAGTGGTCAATGAATGGAAAGCATTGTGTTCTTGTCACTTAAGCACCTGGTGTTTTTATGTAAATAAACGAATGTTATCGGTTAATTTGCCCCAAGTTTTTTTTAGGTAAAGTTTTCGGTAATGACAAGGAACTCGGTATTACTTCATTACTTGCCTCTGCATCTAAACTTGCAAGCTCCAAGCATTTATATCACCAATGAGGAGCTTTAGTTCCGACTTCAAGATGCCGACAACTGCCAGGAATTAAGATGTTTTTCCTTGGAGCTGACTGAAGATCTCCTGAATGCAACGTTTAGTTTGAATGCGAAAAACGAGAGCAAAATTTTGAAACCCTGCGTTCCTCTAAGCAGATATCTGGTTTGGCATACTTGGTGAATAAGATTACTTGTTAGCCTACCTTACCTTTTTGGCCGCCCGAAAGGATGCCTTTATGATTACCACTAATTGTTTTGCGTATTTCTTTCGGATGGAAAATTTACAAGCATAATAATCAAAACACCTGTAGCTCCCGCTGACCAAATATGACACCTCGTTTTCTTGATTATCGATTTTAACTGACTGACTGAAATAGGACGAAGTGAAAAATTTTAAAGAGCACCGTTTTGCTTCTTCATTTCTAAACTTCTTTTCATTTTATTTTGTCTTCTTTTGCCAGTTATTCCGTTGACTTATTTATCAGAATGTTCTGCATCTTTCTGGAAGAAGAAGAAACATCAACCCCTTGAAATAGATCCCTCTTATCGCATACAAGCTAGAGATCAGGGTAGGCCATTCATAGCGTGGTATGTCCTGTAGCTAATTTTTGACTTAGCACAATTAAAACCCGTCTAGATATCAGCATATTAAACTCATTAAGGTATGGAGTCTCAGGAAACTTCGTTGAGTCTAGAAGGAATTCAGAGTTTCAATACTAACAGTGTAGTATTGCAAATAACAGACTAGCAGTCAATCGGAAGGGGTATGTTTAACGCTATATTTTTTTTTTTACTTTGTAGGTTTATTTTTATTGTTATTCATTTATTTCATTTTGTAAACCTTTTTCACCGCCGTAAACCGCTAATGGGGAAGCATGTGAAGTCGAACGAAAACCTGGACCATGTGGTTAACAAAAAAATTGAAGAATTCGTCGTTACTGCTTCTCGCTTTTTAAAGGTGCAGAATATCGTTTCCGGGCAACGGAAATGAGACGCTCCATTCCTCGGTAAACTTCGTCAACTCTCGGAGCGTGTCGGAATTTGACTACGTCATCTAGCGTACAATTCTTCGTGAACGAGCAGTGTATAAAATTTTAATTTGCTGCTGTCTTTGACGTTGTCGCTCTTTTCCACCATCTTGGCTTTGAGATATCAATTCAAACCATCCCAAGTAATCTACAAAGTTCAAGGTCTCTGGCAGATTTACAGATATAAACAAAAACCTTGAGAACAAATTTATTTCAGTATTTGTTGGAAATAACTCGTTGGACACAAGGATAACTCCGTCAAACGTCACCGAGCTTTTTGCCCTTCCGCCATATTGAGTTTGCAAGGAAATTTTTGACGTCGAAAGAATCTGCAAGTTGGGGCATTTTTCACCGCTTCTTATCTTCATGACTGCCTATCCAGAATGTCCGACAGGTTTGGGCTTAAAGTAAAGGAAAATGCTGGGAAGACGAAGTATTCTTCACTTAACTTAAATCAGACATACAAAGGAACTAAGGTTGAAACTAAAACATCCTCAGGTTTGTATTTCTTCGCTATCGTGGGGATTTTGCTATTTATTTTAAAGTGCTATCAGCCTCTAACATCCAAGTTGCGACATTGCATCGAAGTAAACCGTGAAAGGTTGTCTTTTTTACTTTGGTTTTGATCTGCGAGCCTTTCAAATGCGGCTTCCGGTTTTGTGGACGCTACGATGTTGCTCTCGTGTGGCGTAAGATCGGGTACATGAAAACTCATAAATTTTGTTTTGGTTCTAAGATGGACGCTATTTTTTCGCAGGGACCGCTCGCCATGGGCTACAGAGCCTTGGAAAAGTCGGTGCAAGTCGTCGAATTCCTCCTCCCGCTAATCTCCCTTCTTTAAAAAGCGAAAACTCCGGCAACGATCCTACAGTATCTTTAGTTCCTAGCGGAGGTGGAGGATGGGGCAGTGCGAAGGAGAAGCCTTCGGAAACTACACCAGCAGCTGCATCTCAGGCAGCACCTCCGAGTTCAACGCCATCGCAAACAAATGCGCCATCTTCTCAGCAGCCGCTATTGCAGCCGCAGCGGCCTATACCACCGCCGTCTCATCCACAACCAGTTCAACCGCAATCGCAAAGTTCGGGGCAGACACAAAATCAACCAGCCAAACAGCAAGAATCTCAAGTAAAGACATGGGGCACTGTATCATCAAACGAGGCTGGTGGTCAAGGTAAGGAAAGAAGAAATAATTTTTGCTATCTGCGTGACTAATTGTCGTTGTTTAGCGAAAGAGTCGGGATTTTGACACACGCATTTCATCCTGTGGTAATTAAAAATATTTTACTTGTGCTTTTATGTTCTTCAAGTATGTTAGACATGGTGTTTGATGGGAAGGTGAAATCTTTATCTTCGGAAAATTTGTTATTACCTCTATAATGTCAAAACTAAGTTCCGTGCATGCTATACAGCTCAGTTTAGGCGTCGGGTAGCTGATTACGATAATCAAGTATTTATGATTAGTCGAACCTTTTGTTTTCCCCTAATAAGATACAGGTTTATCTTTGCACATATAGCGTTGTTGGATCTTGTGGTAACATAATTTTTTGAATAGTTAGAAATGTTATTTTGTTGCATGTTTTTATGCAATGTATATTTCCCTTGGCCATCAAAAGGATGAAATTCTGTGTAGATTCAAAGCCAAGATAGCAAATGATACAAGGTCGAAAATTTGCCGTGAAAATTCTATTATTGCTTTGACTCATCCAGTCTCACCTATGTAATTCTTGCATGAAACTAAAGACATATTCTTCAAAAGTGCACTACTTTCACAGGCTACTACAGTGCCGAAATTGAAAATCTTGTTTAAGAGAAAATTACTTAAGTTACAGACACCAAAAGTTAAAAAATAGCAATTGGAAAACAGGTTTTTTCATCTGTGGTGACTGTCGGAGCTAACTTACTCAATGCAAGACACATAACATCAATAATAACTTGTTGTAATCTTACAATATTTCAACCTGTAGGGAGGTCCTACTCTCACCAGGAGATGCCATATTTCAATCGGGAATTCCCAGTATTGGGTGGTGGAAACTCTGGGGAAAGGCCCCCGCTGCCCTCAGAAATAAAGGAACAACCTCCTACACAGTATGGTCAGAAACAAATAATGCGCAATACACGTAAGTGTAATTGAATCATTTTACTCTTCCATGAAAAATAGATTTACACTGCTTGTTTAACTTCTACAAGTAAGTATCATTTTCCTCTGATATATTCAAAATCATCAATATAACCTGGACATTTGCCTCCTCACTCTTGGCTCATGATTGTTATTAAGTGAAATCTACTGGCAAGTATAATCATCTCTCCTAGGAGCATGACTTATTGTAGCAAGACTTGAAGTGAAGTGCGGTGTACATAGAATTGAATATCTGTATCATTGGGCTCTTGCCAGTTGAAAGGCAGTTGAAAATGTGATGTGTTTCATGGTATACTATACAGTACTATAATGCACCACTATATTGCACCACAGTATTCTTCTGACATTTAAACTTGTCTGTTCTGGGACTAGAATTTATACAGCATAAACTTCTGTGGTCTACCATGATTTATTTAGTAAAGTATAAAAGTGTAACAAAGGTGTATTTTCACTATTTTATTTTAGACGAACCACCATGGATGGAGCGCAGTGGTCCAGGTAATGCTCTCGTGTCATAATTTGTGTTTTTATAGCTTTTCCTGTACATGGAGTTACTATTCACTCAACTTTTATAATTTAGTAGCAAAGTGGATGAAAGCTTTTTAAAAAAAAGATGTTCTTTTGACTGTTTCTAAACAATGAAGTTAATCTTGAGCTCAAATGAATAAATCAGTGTAAATTTAGAAGTATATATTTTTCCCAATCCAATTTTTCTAGAGAACCACACAAATGTTCTTTTCCACACTTTGTGAGAAGTCTTGCTCTAGGCATATGATTAATTTTTCCTTGTGAACTGATGAAATACAATCTAGGATGGTTACACATATCATCAATTTATGGGTTGAAGCATAAACCTAGAGTTCTGTGTTAAATACTTGTGGAACATTCAAAATGAATCCATTTATATCTCCGACATGACTAGGGCGTCATATTCCTCTGTCATCACAAATTACAGTACGCTATACTCCTTAATTTCTTTAATACATGTAAACAAAGTTTAATTGAATAAATGGATAAGAGGACTTAACCCTTTCATTTTCAGAAATGATTAACCCTTCAACTCCCATAATTGACCAAGATCTAATTTTTTCATAAAATATCAATGCACTATTAAGCTGTAAAGTAATGGGCCAAGAAAAAAATCAACTCAGCAATTATTGTTTGATTCAAATAATAAATTACCCAAACTAACATCAGAAGGGCTGTATGGCAGATAGTAAGAATTTACCTATGTGATCTTGGGAGTGAATTGGTTAACATATTATTTCTTGTTACAATATTAATGAGTAATCAGGTCATGAGAATAGCCAAATTTGTTGGTCATTGGATGTTGCCTCCATATACATGCAACTCTAAATCCCTTAACATACAGTATATTTACAAGGTAATGTGTATGAGAGATTTGATTGTGGGATTGAATGCAAGAGGACTGTTTCATGCATTGTTGTAAAAAGGAAGAAATACGATGCCACTCAGAAATTTAACAATCACCACCATGTTTTTATTACCAATGCAAGATTTTAAAGGCCCAAGTTTCCCAAAATCTTCTTGTGTTTCTGATGTGAAAGCAGTATTTTCAAAAATCTTGTAACATGGTCATAACTGTGGAAGGAAACTAAACTTGTAGCAATGGTAATGTCATTATTTCTGTCAGGTCCT